ATATATGTGTTAACATAGCTTTTTTTTTATGTTAATCTAATTGGATGGATCCATCAAGCCAATGCCGAATTACCAATGTGTTTAGACAGTAGACCAAAATTTAACAATTGTCGATGTGTAAAATTATAGATTATTATTATTATAGATGATAGTTGTATTGATAATAAAAGTAAACGTTATATGTGGTAGCTTGACTTACGCGCGTTATCTATTCGGTACCGTTTTACCAGGTGTTCACAACGGAAGTGCACGAGGCCGGTTCATTAGGCCTAACGGTGTTCCATGCCGCCCTGCCCTCCGATGACTTTGTCGCAAATTGTTCTCTCACCTTCGATGAATTTCTAAAAAAGGAAGAGATGCACGAAAATGATATCTGGATTAATCTCGAGCCAGGAGGAAAAATACACGTCGTCATTTCCCTCGAAGCATGTGAGTATCAGTCAGGCCGAGTGTGCGTGTGTAGCTAGTTTTCCCTTCTGAGTGGTTGATGCTTCCATTTAGACTAGTATTAATGCAATCAGTATGCAACGATCTGGCTAACCTGAGGCAAATGTGCTCCATAGTTAGTAAAACTCGAATCAATGACTTCTTTGGTTCGAGCCACATCTATTGAAAGTCGTCGTCTCGGATAACCCTCTTTTGTGCATGTGAGCAAAATAACGGAAAAAAATGGTCATAGTAAAGGGTCGAGTATGGATATCCATGCAAATGATCTTTTGTACGATGTGACGACAATTTTAGATGAACAAACAGTCATTGTACTGTAGTAATAACAAATACACTCCAGAGACTCTAATGCTTTCGTGCAATCCGTCGCAGCTGGCAGAAGTTCCTCGAATTATGCCCTTTGTTGTGTCTCATTCAGTTTATGCAAATGGTCAAATTAATTAGTTACCCAAACAGCTACTCTTGAAATACTACGTTATACGTTTGTTTGTCGCCAGGTTAGAGGAAGTTGAGCGCTAAGTTTACTGCGCTCGAGTAAAGCGTACGCATGTGGCTAGAAATGAAGGTCTACGTGTACATTAGTTCAATGCGCATTTGGACAACGAGTCCAAATATGAACCGGCGGCCGGTACTAACTTATATGCGGCAAAAAGTATGGCTTGATCTCTAATTGCCTGTTTCTGTCACTTACAGTAGATAAAGGGGTAACGTCTTTTTCTCTCTTATGGTGTTTCTACTTTAGCACAGTTAGAAGTTAACGATACGTAATACAGTATTTGGTAGTTGTCCTATTTACATCTGAATGGCTACCTGTGAACCGTGGACTTAGGTTTATCTTGTCTAATTAGTAGACGCAATGCTATTGACGTTAAAAGTTTGATCAAGTTTCGGAAGTTACACGAAACAACAATTCCACCAACCTGTAAAGGTGAGTGTTGTTTATTCGTGTCCGATCCAATGTACGAACTAATAAAATCAAAATTTTTTTGCTTGGAGAAGTGATTCATGGAGAGAGATACATATCTAACTGATATTATGCAGTCACGATTACAAACAAAAGCAAAATACCAAACGGGTTTTATCTGGGAAGCCCTGTTCGATGTCTGGCATTTTATCAAGCCGTCAGGGTGTCATGCTGAAAACGTACTTGCTAAAATAGTCGTAGTTAGATGGTCACGAGCAAGCATTTTTCTGTTTTGCAGGTGCAAGGTACTCTATGATACTCTACTGCTGTGCCACACTTTAGGCCATAGCTCTCATTAATGTACGAATGGTGACTCCTAAAAGACGACACTTTGCACCCATCCCCATGTGTTTCAATCTATATACGTATAATGAGTTTGGCGGATGTAATATAGTTGAAACACTGCTATCTTGCCATAACCTTTCCGTCGTCTGATGCAGTCGATGTGACTAGACTGAAGCCACTCAGTAACACTTTTGTACATCTGCATACACGCACATCAGTAACGAAGCACAACGAGTTTGTGATTTTTGAGCACAGTCGATTAGGCGCGTTCTCGGTGAAATCGGGCAGCAAAGCTCGGTGCCTGGGCTATTCTACGTGGCGTTGTGCGCACCCCCCTGTCCATGTATGATGCTATTATAGTTCGTTTGATCAATCGTATTTCGTTCTGTGGAAAATGCACGGACCACTGGTTACTGCCACCCCCCGCGTTCTACTGACTCTTTCATTTTCACCTGATCTAGCCCAAGAAAAAAACACCAGCCTATCACTAGCGATAATGTTTAGGGAAAGTGAAATCTCTGTGATAAGGCTGGAAGTAACATTGCCTTAAACGACTACGCTAGCATGTAGGAAATTGCGTGGCAATTTCTAATAGTCCTCTCTTTCACTTGCTACGTATTATTTTGCATTTAATTTGGTAATATATATATATATATATATATATATATATATATATTGTGTCTAAAATGAAACCCTTCCGCATATGGATCCATAGGGTTGGCAATATCAAAATGTTTAAAAAATAAAAAAAAATAACAAATAAAAATTTTTGACAAAATAAAAAAATTTGACCTAAACCAGTTTTTGGACACACGTCTTTATCGCACTATAGGAATATTACAGGTTACAGAATCGTATGACCCTTGTGAACAATAATAGAGGGAATGCATGCACGATGTGCTCGTATCATTGACTGTATTATAGAGATGACGGCGATGCACGTTTATTCAAACGTGCATCGCCGTCATCTCTATAATTTAAAATAGCATTTAGAAAGCATTTAGAAAGTTATTGTGCTTGAAAGTTTGAGCGAAAATTACTTTGCATCTCGTAGCTGTGTTTGCCCCATTGCTGCGTCATTTTTGTACAACTATCGGCAACAATTTAAATAACTCTGAGCAATAGTATACCTGTCCAATAGTCGTACGTTACGTACTTCTACCTGACTTTCAACCATTCGGCCAGTGGCCATTTTTTTCCTTCACGAAATTCGCTTGTGTGCCATCACTAATTGCTAGTAATTAATAATAATAATAACCTCCTAATGTTTTCGCTTTCGATTTGCCGTATTGACCAGGTGCTGCGTCGGAAAAGCCTCGCGAGTTCAAGGCCCGCGCCGCCGGCCTCAACCGGCGGCGTGGCGCCATGCGGCGACGCGTGCATCAGGTTAATGGGCACAAATTTATGGCAACCATTCTTCGCCAGCCGACGTTCTGCTCGCATTGTCGTGAATTTATATGGGGCATTGGCAAACAGGGGTATCAATGTCAGGTGTGTACGTGTGTTGTGCACAAGCGCTGTCACGAAATGGTGGTGACGAAGTGTCCGGGCATGAAGAGCGACCAGCAGGAAGATGCGCCTGCTGAAGGTTCAGGCTTCACGATCAATATACCGCACCGGTTCGTCGTGCACAACTTCAAGCGGCCCACCTTTTGCGATCACTGTGGCTCAATGCTGTACGGCTTGTTTCGACAGGGACTGCAGTGCGAGGCGTGCTCCATGAACGTACACAAACGATGTCAGAAAAATGTCGCTAACAATTGCGGTATCAACCCTAAGCAGATGGCCGAAATCCTACAAGCTATGGGCATCTCGGGGGATAAGCTGCTTACGAAGCGAAAGAAAAAGACTTCGATCGGGGAGAATTTACCAGAGAACACGACCCAGGCATCGGCGGAGGGCAGTGACGCTAGGAGCGATTACAGCCCAGCGGATAATTCAGCCGAAAAGCTTGACAAATTTAGTTCACTTGCTCTCGACAAAGAGAAGAAGTACTCGCTCAACGACTTCAATTTCATCAAGGTTCTTGGCAAAGGCTCATTTGGAAAGGTATTGTAATCTGAGAGTATCACTGAACATTAAAGACTACCGCTAAAACGGCTTCAATTATATATCTGGTCAAATTCCGGAAAATGGTATTAAACATTTGAATAATGGTAAAATTATAACTGAAAAGGACGTGTATAAAGAATGTAAGTTTAGAGAGCGACTAGTAACAAATAAATATGAAGAAGTCTCGTAGCTGTGTTAAGCTTCATTCTACCATTTGTGCGATGGCTGTGCTTACAGGTGATGTTGGGTGAACGTAAAGGCACGGAAGAAGTTTATGCAATCAAGGTACTCAAGAAGGACGTCATCCTTCAGGACGATGACGTCGAGTGCACCCTAACGGAAAAGCGCATCCTAAGTTTGAGCGCTAGACATCCCTTCCTGACGGCGCTGTTTTGTTGCTTTCAGACAGAAGATCGTCTGTTTTTTGTGATGGAGTATGTGAATGGTGGTGATCTTATGTTCCAGATTCAGAAATCAAGAAAATTTGATGAGCCGCGAGCGCGCTTCTATGCAGCTGAGGTGACGCTAGCATTGATGTTTCTCCATGAAAATGGGGTTATCTACCGAGATTTAAAACTCGACAATATTCTTCTTGATGCCGATGGCCATTGTAAAATTGCCGACTTTGGTGAGCGCATCCTTTTCGACAGCTTTTGATGAGTTTTTCCACGAACAGCGTATCTGATATAACACGTCTAGACAGTTATTTACGAAGGTAGCGATTTGTGTCTATACATAGGTTATTATAGATGGTCCTTTAGGTCTACTGCGAATTTTACTATCAAATCAAGATGGTTTTTTCTTTCACCCAGAGAGTCTAGCACGTAACAAACGTATCCGTTTTGTGTTTCTCTTGTTATTCTATTACCGCCTACTATTTAGGTATGTGTAAAGAAGGCATTAAGGATGGGGTTACAACAACGACGTTCTGCGGCACTCCGGACTACATCGCGCCGGAGATTTTGCAAGAACTTGAATACGGCGCCTCGGTAGACTGGTGGGCGTTGGGGGTGCTCATGTATGAAATGTTAGCTGGTCAACCACCCTTCGAAGCCGACAATGAAGATGACCTGTTTGAATCAATTCTACATGACGATGTTCTATATCCGGTATGGCTAAGCAAAGAGGCTGTAGCTATTCTTAAAGGCTTCATGACCAAAAATCCAGCTAAACGATTAGGCTGTGTCACTGGCCAAGGTGGCGAACAAGCGATCTTAAATCATGCTTTCTTCCGTGACATAGACTGGGATGCATTGGAAGCTCGCAAAGTCAAGCCGCCCTTTAAGCCAAAAATTGTAAGCGATTTTCTGTTATGTTTCAACGTTGCCCTAAGATTATAATTATTTCATCTGTATAAATACGTATATCTTATTTCATTGGTATAGGACATTGTGTAGTGCTTGTCCGATTCACTCCGCAGCACACAAACCACTCTAGTATCGAAATCAATCCTGCAACCCTTTTTTTAACTAGGTATCTCCACGGAGTTGATATTGTGCCAATCGAAGGTCACCGCACCATAACTACCTTCATTGATACGATTCATTGTTAGCTTGAGAAATACTCCCGGAAATTAAATTGATTTTATGTTTTTGTTTGAATTTCAGAAAACTAAGCGTGACGTAAACAATTTCGACGCAGATTTTACCAAGGAAGAGCCAATTCTGACACCAATATCCGTCGAAATTCTACGCAATATAAATCAAGATGAATTCAAGGGCTTTTCATTCGTCAACGATGATTTTAATCCGCAGCGTTTTGACAGTGGAGCGCCCCCCTAGGATTTTACAATTTTTTTTGTTTGTCTGTTAGTCCTGCGAAACCTCTGCACCGATAATAACAACCGGAACAGTATGAGCGAGATGAATTACAGTTGTTTGTATGGCAGTTCGGATCGATTCAATATACACAGAGTTGACCGCAATACGATGACAGAAGCGAAAGAAGAATGATTATGCTAGGAACAATAACAATAGCTAATAAAGACGGCAGGTGGCATCAACAGGTGGAAAAATTCATAATGATGATCGAAAAACGGCCAGCCTGTCCTAAAAGCTTTCGTCTTGGCTCGACCAAAAGAAGATCCATATACAAATTTATATGCATACGCTATATCCATAAGATATATCTGTGTATATATATATAGCTATACAGATACATAGTGACCGATAACTCCGTTGGCCACAATACCGCCGTCGATATTATTCCAATATCATTATAATATATATGCGAAATAAGCAAGCCATTCAGATGAACCGAAGTGGGCCGCATAAAGTTGTGCGCTAACGAAGTAACAGCCGGAGTAAAGACGGAGTTTTACGTTAAGAAAGCTTACTTGTACGTGTGCAACCGGGTATATATATACGAGCGTATATTAAGATCATCGTACCTTCATAAACCATATGTGAAGGCAAAAAAGATAAAAAAAGAAACTAAATTGAGGTGATGAATCACGCGTTGAAAAGCCGAGGTCAGCATAGCACTTCTTCTCAAAATAAATATTCAGGGTGAAAACAGGAGGTAAACATTATAGACAATTAACACCAACCAACACATGTGGGTTACTGCTATGATATTATATCATGTTATTATTATAATAACAACATATGTATACGGCAAACATCATCATCGTTGCAGCATTGATGTGAACTGAGCTCTGGATGGCGGCATTATTTATAGACAATAAAACATATATATATATATATATATATATATAACTTTAGATCTGGGGCTTCATCTCATTGATTGATTGATTGATTGATTGAATGTGTGTGTTCCGTGCGAACCCCGAATCGGACAGCGAATTGAAGCGATGATCGGGGGTGGTAAGGATGGACAGCGAGTTATGAAATGTCAACAGTGACTTTTATGTCAATTCCATGTCGAACTTGTTGCCGACTGTTGGATCCTAGCGTTTTGTGAATCTCCGGACATCGGTAGTTCGCTGTGCTTGGCCTAACAACAATAGGATACTGCTCTTTTACCCCATTTATCGCCGTCGTCGTCAACAATAATATTAGAATCTCGAAGTCGGTCGCGGGCGGATGGAACATCGACGAGTGTTCGACAACAGCTCTAAACGCACCACTAAAAATATACGACGAGATGACACATACTGTCATTATGATCTGCAAGGAAAGATTAATATAAATAATTATAATAAACAATACTACTAATAATGGTAATACTGAAGGTCGCGTGGCTGCGGAAATTTAGGAAGAAAAGTACGCGCGATCGAACTTAATGTTTACAAAATGCAGACCTAAGTGATGGTTGAGTTCGTCTGCTTGTTGATGTCTGAATGGGTGGGCGCTGTAATAATAAACGTGATTGAACAACGATCATCAATATGAGACTGCTATATGACGAAGACGACAGAAAATAGCCTCCAATCGGACTAACTTGTTTACCAACGTTTATGTTCTTTGTGCATTATTCATGAAACACTGTTCCTAGCGTCACATTTACAATATAAAATTCCTATGACGTATTCAATACCACGTGTTTGCCTAAGACATCGCGTTATATCATAACACATTTGTGCAGTTCACATGTCCCTGATTTACCCTACAAACGCGAGCACGACAGCACGACTTCTGAAGAAGAGAAACTCAAATAATATTTACTCGACAATATATCTTCTCATAAATGTCAGTCTGAAGCCATGAGCACTCTAGCTTTGCAGGTTCTCCGATAGACGTAGTGAGTCAGCTCTTGCTCGCACTCTCGGCCATAACCGTGGCCCCACCCCTTTGGACGTATAGTGTACCACGTCGTTTGCCTCCGTATATATACGTATATATAAGTTAGCTTCGTAAATCGCCTATTATATTTTCTAATATTGTCGTATTGAACTTTTTCAGTGTAAGAGTTCTATGGAGTTTATCGTTTCTGTTTATCCGGATTCGGTTTCGATTTGATTAACTAGGTGCGCTTTAAGGCTCTTTCAAAGCCGAAAATCACAATCTGAAATTGGCTTAACATCATTTATTGGTAAGAGGACGACAGTAAGCTTGATTATGAGATGATGCAAACAAAGGACAAAGCCTCTAAGCGTGCTATATAGAAGTTATGACACACGTACACCAATGAAATAAGGACATTTTGATAGCCGATGACAGATTATTTGGAAAGTACCATCATTTTTACAACCATCTTGCTTGTAGACTCCGCAGGACTGGGTGTAGGTAAATTTGACAATGGCATCATCAACGCATAGCTAAGGCTGAATGAAATTAGACAAAAACAATGCGTATTAGAATTTCCGATAGGCGCCTCAGGTCACTTCCGCTTTTTCTCAGTGCCGGAAACACAAGGAAAAAGAAAATTCTAGTTAAACTGGACACGTCGGCAGTTTGCTTCCTTAGGACCGCTGCAATAGACGAACCAATTATATTTTATTATTACAAGGATTCACTCATGAATATAACGCAGAAATGGGTCGTGTCAACTGTCGATGACGACTGATTTTATCAACTAATTGTTAAGCCAATTTTTTATTGCCTGAAAATATATGTCGAGGCAAATGCTTATTCTTTGAAAGAAAAACAAGTTGTGGACATGTGTTATTTAAACTGGCGAAGGCAAAGCTAGTTAGGGACCGCTGACGCCACTGGGTTGCCCACGTTAACTTGGGCGGCTCCTGACTGACTGACTGACTGACCGCTGAACGAACGTCGCTGGTGATCATTGCAAACTTGAAAATATGGCAGTAACAGTAACGTTTAGTAATACTATTATTATAAGTTAACGAAATGATTATAGGGAATACTGCACTCCCCTGATTCTAATCATAATTCACATATATTAATTCTATTATTGTTATACTATGGACAATTATTACATAACGCATCATATAGCAAGCTTTAATTATTCTTATAACAGTAGAAATGGCAGAATGCCACGAGACTAGGAATACATATAGACTTAACCTACTATATATATATATATATATATATAGACATTGTTGTATTTTGTGTATGTACGTGCGAGTATGTGCTAAAGGGCGCGATGAGAAAGCAAGCTGACTGAAGTCGAGCTACGTGAAATATAACGGAATGGGATGTACGATAGCTAGACTCATGTATATGTCACATTCGCCGTACGGAACTTGCACGGCCACTCATAAGCAAGAACGAGAAACCGGGTAACAGAATCGACCCTCGAACGTTTCTGCTAGGGACGACACAACTCGCGGCAGGTGGGGCAAGCTTCGCCCAACAGGTGAACAGATTTGCTGATTTGGGCCCATCCCTTTAATAGTAAACAGTGACGTTTAAAAGCTGCGGTATTAGAGTAACGGCGTTCTAGAAAGAGATGACATTCATGACTATGTTGATGATGAGATGACATGTTACGACTATTGACATGATAGTGTTAATAGTAATAACAATAATCACAGTAATAATGAAAAAAATAACAACACTAGAATATCTAACACATACAAGAAAAAGGTGAATTATATTTGACGAAAAGGGTTATATGAACAGGCAGAGTGTACATGACTGAGGATGGAATCCTATGATACGGAAAAGAACACAAGAGATTATCATAACTTTATTATTATTATTATTATTATTAGATTAATAATAGAATGATGATATAAAACTAGAGAAAATATTACTTACATAATTATTGTATTAGCAACAAAAGCAACAACAATAATAATACCGATAACAATTACCACAATAAATTGTACTAAATGCCGACAAGTAAGACGTCAAAATAATGAAGATAAAACACGGACGACGAAGCGTATAAAAGAGTCGAATAACAATAACAATGAATAATAAAATCAATATAATAACTAATAACAAGATAAACGAGTAATAATAAATGAAAACATAATAACACGTTAATATAAATAAAGTAATACTACTTTAATGCAAACGTGGCAGCAACAATGATGATCGTGACGAGAATAACAACTGAATAGGAAGAACGAAAGCGATGATGACGATACGATTAGTAGGTTTGCATTAACGAGTTCCATAATGAAGATTGGGGTGGACAAGAAGATAGAGGAAAGCCCAGTAAGCACAAAGAACTTTGAATAAATGATCGCGCGTCTGGGATGGGCAAAGTCTAGAAGACCAGCGTTAGATACTGTGGTTATACGCAAACGTGATCGTGTGAGAAAGTGCGACGGCGTGACATGCTGAATGCTTACTCTACTTTGAATCTCTTCATTTTCATCTGTCGATGCTATACGCGCCGCGTGTGCGGGTGGGAGCAAATGCGTACATTTATGGCAGGTGACGAGGAGAGATCGAGCTTTTAAGAAATTAAGGCATCGATATCGAGGATCAAGCGAGACAGAGGAAAAGAACGTTTAGCAATGTACTTGTATTTGTCTATGCGTATCGATGTCGAAGAGAAACAATCGGTCCGCGAGTCGGTATATATTACACACGCAAGAGAAAGAAGCTTAGCGTAAAAAAGCAAAAAGACAGGATGATACACGACTGAAGGACGGGGTTGCTTTAGGCGGGATTGCTATTCGGAAATGATCCTAACAATGGAACCCGAATCCAAATTACAGTTGTAGACGGCTGCGAGCGTATGGGGGGGGGGGGGGGAATAACAAGAGTAATAGCAACACAATGACGTAATCTTCGAATATGTTTACGATGCCAGAGTACCCGTCAGACGATGGCGACACCTCGACAATGTTGTAGAACCGAGCAGAACAGGGTCTATAAATCTAAAAGAAGTCAGCGGAGATGTTCGTAAAGGCTGTCGTTTGATTATACTGGCCGCGCTGGTAGTTACTCTAGTCATTATATGATAATCGTAATTAAAGTACACAAAACAACATAATTACTACTAGTAATTATGGTAATAGGCTGGTATAATACCAACCGACTGCAGCGGGAAACGCAATCGATCGATGAATGAACAACGTCAATCATCCGAATTTTGCTAATAAAACTAGTATTTGTCATGCCTGATTTGATCTATTAATTAACATAACGACCTCTAACTAGCTAGTGGTCATTTGGTCGTTCTAGACGACCAGATAAAAGCAGAAACAGTAACGTTAGATCGGCGCTTAATCTGTTTGGGCATTGGGGCAGACGAATCTCAAAAACGTGAGCTGAAAACACTCTTGAAACCATTGACTTTTCTGCCTGATGGACCGTAGTGGACGATAATAACCGAACCGTTTGCGTGTGGACAACAAACAAAACAGACAAATCATAGCCGTACAATGCGGTCAAGACCACCCAAGACGCCATTATTCTGCCTATCGCCGTAGAATGCTACTGCTAACAAAGGTGAACAAGCAGACATTTAATTACCATGCTCACTATAACCTAAAAGCACCATGCCGTATATTCGTGTTTACGGCGAACAGAAATAGCTAATTTAAAGAATTGGCGCCACTAAATGAAGGAACACAAAGATTCTATGAAATACGGAATAATCTGCGTTAACGACATGGATCGTGGCGTTGTGAGGGTAGACGACACAATAGATCACCGCCGATTGCTGCAATAACCGCCCGCCAGATGGCGCAGTGGCGACACATCGATGATGAAGGCTAGTTCTCAAATAACTGAGAACTAATAATATATTAATTCGAAAAGAAGGGTAGGTAAGAGGTAGCGTCAATGGTGTTGAGGATAACGATTGTATTGATGATTATGGTGGAAAAACGATGCTTATGAGGATTAGAAATATAATACTAATAATGATAACAATGACTGCGCTGATGAGAACGATTTTAAAGATAATAGCGATCTTTTATGACAATTGCTTGTAAGGACACCGATGATGATGATGCTGAGATTATAATAATAATAATAATAATAATAACTGTTATTATTAAATGGTGAGGTAGTAAATAATTCTCATTATGGTAAAGCGGACTGTAGGAAAGATGGTAACGACGAGGGATAGCGTTCACCATAAAAAAAGGATTCCACATCTGTCTTGCCTCAGTGAATAGAATACCGAAAACAATAACGGTGACGCCTGATGGCGATCATCCTAAGAATAATTATTATTACATTGATGGTAACTATGATATGATAATATATATTCGGGTCTAATGATTATAATGACACCAAATAATCATATAGCGGGAGGAAGGAGAAGGAGGACGCAAATCAACGGAGAAAAAGCGTAAAAAATGAAGCTGAAGGTAACGTCCTGAAATCGGTGTTAGTGAAAAGGCACAGCGAAGGCGCAGCCAAGCGAACGCTGGAGTTTTATTTTTGGCAGGGCTAAAGAAAAACATGTGAAAATGGATCTACGAATGGAGAGAAATGGGTTTCCTGAAGCAAAAGGGTTACAAACGTCTGAAGAAATGGTGATCGACGACGACGACGACGACGACGACGACGACGATGATAACGAATAGAAACAGCAGACAAATTGCTACAGTCACGATGGAAAATGGATAGCAGAATGATAAGTGCCGCGCTGCAGGTCTGGGAAGAAGCTCCGATCGCATAAGAGAAGGGCAAATAACATCGATAAATGTTATTATTATTATTATTAATAAGTTTAAGGAAGGATAAAACCTGTGGTAAACGTATGAAGAGGGGGATACATCAAGGGCTAATGGACATGTATAAGAAGAGGGAAACGTATGAAGTGGCTGATAAGAGGGCGGCAGTTTAGGATGAACGGAAAGGGCGGAAACGGTAGGGACCCAGCTCCAGCCGAGAGCCATTACGGCACCGGTTCACATTTTATCATACTCTAGATAACAATGATAATAATGTCTAATAAAAATAGACAAGATTGATGACAATATATTATTAAACGGTATAAATGTGTATATAAGTGCAATAAAACTAATAAACCACAATATATAAAATAAACCGTACAATTATCTGACTACTTTTTAGTTAAAGTTGAGAATGTATAGCAAAAGGTAACGATTTAGCACATATATAGTATAACAGTGTATATATATATATATATATTCTGCATGTCATACATCGATTACGTTTCATGGATAAGTTGTCAGTTAACTTATTTTTTTGTTCTTAATGGAAAACAATTTTTTCAAAGTAGCCCTTTGTAAAATGCGTTACGCAATATAGACTAATGTAGCATGATTTCGTATTTAAATCTATAGTAGTACTGTTGCACGGTATATACCTTACCGCCTGAGCTTCTTCAATTTGGAGCTTATTTTTTTTCTAGGAAAGACTAATAAGAATATTTTTTTACCTAACGATTATTTATGGTTATATGTCACGACGTCACCAACTAAGATTGCTTTAGAGGTGTTACATGGACGAAAAACTTTTTAACATGAACGATCTCGAATAAATTACTTGTTTTTATTGTTTAATTGTGTTTCGTATAGGGATAGGGATTCGTATTCTTGATGTATGATTTTTTGCTCAATATTTCACGCAAAGCTGAACATGTTAGGGCATCACATTGATATAAAGTATTTATGAACTTTTTAACTTTTTTTAACTATGATTAATATAACTTTCGAAATTCAATTCGCTAATAATCTGTTTTAGTTGTTCCTTGAATCCATTGCCTTGGCTAGTTTGCGTGTTTGGCAAACCAAGTTTAAGTGTTCTACAGGTTCTACAGAAACAAAGTATTTGTTCGACTGTAAGCCTGAAATCTATGGACCCTTCCTGTGCCTGAAATCAAGCACAGGAAGGGTCCATAGATAATTTATCATTACCGCCGTTCATAATTTAACATTGACTAAATTCGCATAGATAACAATTGTAATAGTTTATCATCCGTTTATGTACAACATAGAACTACGAGTGTAACTAATTATACGATCTACAATAAGCGAATGTATTATGTTATATCAGTATTATAGAATATGGGTTTCACTGTTTTCATAAATTAGCATCATTATCGATATTAATTAATAACTTGCGGCTTGCGTTTTACTGACCCCCTATAGTCGAATACTGCCGAAATGTCCCTGTTAAGTGTTCCACACCATACATCTATGCAACAAACCATCAATACATGGTTAGAAAGACATCTAGTATTTTACATAAAAACTAGCTTCTTTGTCTTAGGTTTCATTAGTATTCCACCTGTTTGGCATAACAGTGATCACGTGCACATTATTAATAACGTTATTATTTGGTATTTAGAAGCAGCTTGTATAAAAAGTGGCCCGTGTGTCTGCTCCTTAAATACAACACCTGAACTCGAAAATATCCTGCTTTTACTAAGACGCTTCCCTTTTGGATTGAAGCCATTTTAATTATACAAATTGTTCCATACGTGCGTCGGGACATGGCGTTGGGACTGGCGTGGTCAACGAAAATTTCGATCGACGGTCAGCAACAACCGGTAGAAGATGGAACCATTGCCGTATTCACTGACATGATTCGCGTACGCGGTATAATCCAACCCAAACACAGTCTCGTTATGTTAACTTTACCTCGTGTCATTAGCTACAATATCAAACCTGTAATAATATACAGGCCCATAGAGAACAATAGCTAATTGACAAAAATGTTTTGGCGGCTATTTGCTCGTCTCCTATTCTAGCCATAGCCTCGTGCATATATGCAAATGACGGAAAAAGCAATGGACTTTGTTAATCGCTACTTTTGTCTATACCGTTGGTCCGCACGCGTACAGCACATATGAATTAGTTAGAGGCGCAGGGGTGCCGCAGCACGCATGACTGACTATACGACTTATAACGCTCTGAGATTCACCCGTTTTACTAATCACTGCCAAGTATTCTAGAAAAGTTCTTTAATGAAAATAGATATATTCATACATACAACGATGTATTGTTCTCGTCAAAAACTCTATTGTAATATACTTCTAACATATAATATGGTATTAGATGACCGCAAATATATTATATGTTAACTCTTTTTAAAAATAGTTACGTTTTAATAGCCTCAAATACAAATCGAATGTGCAATAAAAAGTATCTTCTACAGATCTGTGAAACAAATAAAATTATTTGAATCGAATTTAATGAGCCTCGTTTTTTTTTTTTGGTACAGACTAAGGAGGCTGCTAAGGATAAGATCAGGGTTGCAGAAATAGAGATTATCCTCCCGATGTTATAGAAGCAGTTCGATTCACAGAAAACCTTCAAGGACGAAATATTCCAACGACGGCAATACGCCCTTTGATAAGCAATGACTTTAATTCCGTAAAATGTTATCGATTCCCAGTAATTTAGAGCCTGCTACATCGCTAACTTATACTCCAGAGAAGGATCTATATATATATATATATATATATATATATATAAATGGGTAGTCTGCATTTCAGTAATATCCAGGCTACCATTAACGGTTACTGACAGATGTAAGACCGCAAAAAATGCAGCCTGTCTGATTAGCATCGGGAATAATTAAACGACAACATTCTAAAATAATTATACTTTTATATAACAATAATAAAGTGAGTATCCTCCAGGTTTTACTGAACCCATATGCATTAGGCGACTGGCTGAAGGTCATGAATTTTAAAATCAATTATGTCTAACTTTCTATAGAAATTCTCTACAAAATTACACATCCCAATCGTATCATAACCACTTTAGGTACGCCGGAATAGGATTTATATGGCCACTGAATTATTTAAACTACCATGATGCTTTTAAGGCACCTCCTTAAAACTCAAAGCCCCCGGAACCATATTTCTACATCATGGTAACATGGCAATACTACTACTTAGTTAAATATTCACAAGTTAATAAAATCAAATATTAAGGCGAAGCTGAATTTTCTTAAAGTGGAACCTCGTTGAGTTGGTTATCCAGGCATTTCGTAGCAGTCCATATACAATTTCATGTCCTGTGCTTCTTCTGCGTACCTATATAAAGCTCTTCTCTAGTAACGCTGAAGTGGATAGTCACCATCGCCGGCAGGCAAATAACGAGCTGACGACGGCAATGATAGTTCAGACATCGACGCCCGAGTTAACGGTAAAGGTCGAGTGGGCTAACACGATCCGGAAGCAGAGCGTCGGAGTAGCCTCACAGATGGTAAACTCTTTACTATGAATAGGCGAAAAACGAAAAATGTATCAGTAGTGTTTTTAGGAAACTGTATTCTTTACAAACCATATAATTTTCATGGCTTATACTCACTCGGCTCATGATGGTTTTATTATAATTGATAATTCTGTCTTGCGTCAGATACATGGTCAGGAGGCGGTAGTTTCAAGAGAGGCTTCTCATTACTAGAATAATATTCTGATCATCAAATGAAAATACGTAGACTGCGTATCAGTACTGATGCCATAAGCCAAACATCGCAGGCATCTGATCTTGATTTAAGCAATAATTAATTCAAACAATTATTATCTTCGAATATCGGTCGAGCTCTTTTGAAACGCTCATTCTTCATTAACATTATGACAATTCCTGTATAATGCCATTTTTACTATCAAGTATAGGAATTAACTAATTAATGGTCTAGAAAAAACTAACTTCTAGTGTAACTTTATTAACGTACAGTCTTTGACGTCGCTGAGAGGGCTGATCGTCAGCCGCAGCGCTTGGCGGAGGTGACATTTGTCCATTTCTATGCGCCTCGAGTAGCTGATGGAAAATACTCTCGTCAGTACCTTAACGAGTTGCCCCGCCAACCGTTGGAGCATTGCCACCTGTAGCGGCCAGGGCGTGTCCTTCGGGATGCCCCAGCCCAGTGATGCTATGATCAGCGTCGGAGAAGAATGTCGCGCATGACTCTGCGTTTCGTTCGCAATAACGACCGCAACATCTGACGAATCATTGGTAGTAAGGTGTGATAATGTCACTGCGTTGTCAATGAACATCAATAGAAGCTTCAGGATAAAAAGGAAAAACGAATCATCTGAGGTAAGATAATATATGCAGATCACTAAACAGACGATTGCTACTATAAGACTGATGTTCGGTACTGCGATCGTACAGCACAGTACTGATATTAAGCCAGCTATAGGTCATCGTTCTCTAAGTCCACACGCTGTTCGCCTGAACGACAGGCCGCACCAAGCGCAGCTGACGGCATTGACGAGGAACTGCAGGCGGTTATGAGCGGAGATACTGAACGATTTTCACCTGGTGACATTTATACAAGTTTATAGCAAAGATTCATCTGGTTGTCATGATTAGCGTCTCCGATACGTATCTCTGCTTTACATTGATTCATTGACATATGAAATCGCTAGCATTATGATGTCTATGCGCGAGGTTTTGTTTATATACAGGACAGGTTTCTTGTATGTTCTCTCACCGGTATCACGGCCTTCTCCTTTGCGATCGACTGAAGCTGTTGCGAGAGATGATCTAATAGCCATCGGTAATGGTGGACTTGCGGGCGTACCACCTTCATCTGTAGTCAGCTCGGTAGCGCTACTACTGCTAGGAGGTGACGAAGTTCCACAAGTGTGCAGTTCACCATGGTGATGCCCGCTTACATTTGATGTTGATGATACTAACGTCGGTACCTGGGATCCTTCGAGAGGTGACAATACAGCGGACATTGGATGAGTCCGTTGGCTATGTAGCTGCTCGAGTTGGTTTATATACCATTGTTGATCACGGCACTTTTGGAAAAAGGAAGGGGGACGCACGTGGAACCTGTATGAAAAGAAGCCGGATTGTCGAATATATTCAATCTATCAATATTTTTATCTGCTGCATATCTGTTGAAAACCATAGAATCCTTTTGGCTGAGACTAGTATACTAGATAGATGACTAGCACGGAAGCTGTTGAAGTCCTACTGACCTGAGCATAAGAGAATCGTTCTCAGGGTTAAGGTATCCTTCAGCGGCGAGCAAATCAAGTCGATAGAAACGGTTGTAGCCCCAACATTCCTCTACTTCAAATTCAGAACTAAATTCCCGGACAATATTCTTATTCGCATCAGTTTTATGCACCATTTCAACGCGGTACTCATACTTTGATTTCTCGATAAAACCGGATGACAGCTCCAGGAAGACGGATAGATAATTGCCGCGTACCACACCATTGCCATCTGGGTATACCTTCGTATTCATGTGTCGTAGACATGGCAAACAAAATAAGTGCAAATGATTATGATGGAAATTGTAGTCAATGAGGATATTGCAATCAAACGTTGCCTTAGAACTTAATGAGCGTAATGCGCGAAAACGGGTTTCATTAGGCCTAAAGAATCGATATTTATAGTATGCAGCTGTGTCATTGCGCTTATTGTTGTTATTTTGTTTCCAACCTTGAGGCGCCAAGTAAGCCCACCAACGGTGAGCGGATTCGAGTAGACAGGGTCGCCCCTCAACTTGAGCCAAGAGTAACTACGAATGCAAAAGAGGCTTGAGTCATACGGCGGAACAATCTCAGACAAAAAGTCGGCGTGCACAGGACTGGGTGCTCGAGCTATTTGCTTCGCTTGCGTGTCACTGATCAACTTCAGTAGATCCTGCGTATGCCGTATAAGCTCACTCTTTGGACTCTGTTGAAGCTTTCTCTCAACCTGCGAGAATCGAATACGCCCAAACACAGAAGCTCGCCTTAGAGACAATAAGCTACAATTATAAACCAAATGACTTAAGGCTCTCTTAAGGATGTTTTGGCTCGTTAGCTAGGTAGAAATGTCGCAGACTAAACGTCTAGACTAACTACAATGAGGCGGTGAACATACCGAAAAAGTACCATCTAAAATTCCCTTAAGGAACATCGCCCAATAAACCAAATGGAAATATAAGCTCCCGCGCATAATTACCGCCATGGTACCTAAAATAGTTTTAAGTTTTATATCCGAAGATTCCAGTAATCGATCGCGAACCGCTCTTATGATACCTTTGAGCTAAATAATGCGTCAATTCGAAAGCTTTTTTTAACAGCGATTATCTCGGATCCAGATATTACCTAGTAGTTGAATCCTACATAAGGTAATTTACTGACACTTTGCACGACGTGCTCGAGGTGTTCCGTTTCTTTGCTAATCAAAGCACTTTGTTGAGTAAGAAAACGCTGCTTAGTCTTAAGTTGCGTATCGAGACGTTGGATCATCTGCTCCACCGCAGTTCGAATTTCGTGTACGCGCTCATATTTGGCCGCGTGGACTGCCGCCACGTTACGCTCCACCTCCTGGAATAGCCGTTGACCAAGAAGGGGCAGCTAACTTAGAATTTAAGACGCCTTATTGTGAAAGATAACTTTTCCCTGGAGAGCGTTATATTGCCTGATACTGTAAACCGTTATTTCAGGCAATACGTACAATCTTAAAATCGACCGAATCGGATTAGATATTAAGCAGTATCATTTTCACTGCAGCAGTAGAGTCTACTATCATTGTACCCACAATATATATAATGAGCAAACACTGAGTAGATGTGGGCGTCCAGTGGTATGGGCACAGAGATATATCGGTAGTATGGTTGACACAATGCCATTGGCCATCTTGGTAAAGCATTTTTCTATAACCTGCCGCATGACGTGCAGCTCGTGAAGCCGCCGACGTATCGAAGTCATTTCGTCTTTGACTTGCGTAACGTGGTTAGCGTAAACTTGTTCAATAGGCCGGAATTCGTGACCTTGATGGCCTATTTCCCAGAGTGCGCACTGATGACAAATGCATATACTACAATTCCAACAAAACACAGACAGCTTCTCATTGTGAGTTCGACACGAGTCGTCCGATCGACACGATCCTGCATCATTACCGACCTACAGATGATAAAAACGATATCAAATAGTACGAAATAAATCACTTACATTGTCTCAAAATTAGTCTATGTCAGGGTATTTAAGTCTCACATCGGATATGAATTAGCAATATTTGCTCTACCATATTATAACGTAAATGAAAAATGATCAAAAGCCACACCAAGGGTAGATCAATGTAAATTTTTCATCAAATAGTTCACATAAAGCCACCTTAGAATGATTACGGCATCGGTGAGCAAATATTCATCCTTGCCTCTATATCTGTTGCTGTATTATATCTTGGTGCTAAATCTAGTTACCTTTTCCAACGGTTTGGCAACAGAGTTCGATGAGGAGGATACTGCATGCGCGGGGCCAGATAGCTGTAGGCTATCTAATTGTTGGGTCACTTCCTCGGCCTGAAGCGGCCACATCACCGCGAAGATAACGTACTGTTATTGTTACTCGTATTATAATTATTATTACGCACTCTACGTAGGCAACAAAAATAGGGAATCAAACTTATGAACAGTATACAAATGTGTATGATTTCGCCTGAAAATCGAACAAGTACTTTTTAAATCCACTATTTCTCGAGCAGTATCTCGAGTACCAAGTGAAGCCTTGTCAGCTTTATTATCAAGCGTTACTTCGCTTACTCACCCATCGACAGTTGACTAGATCGTTGAGGTGAAGTGTAGCTCGACAATGGGGACACTGCGGCCTCTGTTCGGTTAACCAACGACGAATACAGACGAAGCAGCACAATTTGGAACAGTGCGGGCACAAATGGGCATCCCGTAGTTTTTCCATACATATCACACATCGGAAGACTTCTGCAATTGACTGCCACTCTCATATCGAATCTATTATTATTAGATGAAATTCAATTGTGTAGTCAATGCCAACAGTTGCAGCTTAATCACTATCGAAAGTCTATCTTCCTGTGCCACGCGTAAGCCGCAACGACTCTGCTAACGAGACGATATTCTATACTAGTCTTATAAGCTGACAGTCAGTGAATAAAGCTAGTCAGATCTTCTATTGTTGAAGAAGCCATCGTATAGGACGCGAACGTTACATGATCTGAGGCTGAAGGCAATCAGTTAGTTTTGAAATAAGCAAATCCAACAACCTGAGTGACTTGATATTTATTGCAATATTCTATAATATTCGATTAGCAAAACAGACGCATCATTTATTAATTTGTTTAGTTTTTTTTTTAATCACTTCCGTTTGACTGAATACTGGCGGCCAACATGGGATCAGCACTACAACTACTTGAATGAAAAACCGAGCTGAGTTCCGACTATGGGAATGAGTATATGTGCTGTTCAATGCACTTCATTGACTATCCTGTGGAAATCTAGGCCTACGATACAATGCCCGGAGACAACTTGTATGGGCCTTTTATTCTGAATATTGTATAAATCAATATTTGGCCCAGTATATATCAAAAGTTGAAATATAATAAATGCAAAATAATAGTAGCAACAAATAAATTTCAAGGTAAAATTAGGTTCATCAGCATTTATCAATACTTCAATGTGTAACATGCAGCAAATTTAGAGTAGTCAGGGCTTTCATCGTTTTTCAGTGCTGCTGGTTATTTAGTTGTTATAGCTTTCTATACGTAAGAGTAAAAAGGTGAACATTGAAACTACAATTTCCATAAAGAAATAGCCCTTAACGAGCAGAAGCATTACAAGGAACACAGCAGTAGCTAGGCACATATTGTTAGAAATTGCATACGTGTCCTTCTAGATAAAACAAGGTACAACATCGGCAAACGGGTTGATGTGCTTCGTAGCCGTAACCTGGCAGTAAAGAGACAGACTATAGAAATTGTACAAAAAAAAAAAGTAGTTACATTCTAATTCTCTTCCTTCTCCTCTTTATTTTTCCTTATTACTATTATTCATATTGTTATTACTACACTTAACCAATTCATTGTAACTCACTTCAACACCAGTCTCTTGTTGCAGCCGCTGCTGTTGGTGCGCCATCGCATTTGTAAGAGAGAGTGTGACGGCTGCCTCCAGCCGCGCGCGAGAGATCTTTCACCGTTTCAATTACAGAGTCACGAACTGGTCACTTGTTATCGGCCTACATGCTTATCATCCCGAGGTCCGAATCCGGACGTATGTAGAGGCACTGTCTCGTGCTGGAAACGAGCCGTCTGAAGTGTTTAAACACCGAACGTAAATGACGAAAAACATGTATTACTGCTGGGTTTTTAGAAACGTAACACCGGCTCCGCACCGCAGCTGTCACAGGCGTCAGCCTTCCACTTAGCCTGGATACCTACGGCATCAGCATTTGTGTTATCAACTCTTTCATCTACGATAGATAAACAAATACTCCTATTATAAACGTATGCGATTGCTGAAAGTTTCATTAGTGAGTTCGTTCACTTGTCGCGTGATCAAAGCGTCTCCGGTGGAGGATACTAGCATTATTGAGTTTTTGCTAGAGACGGCTATTTATAATATTCTCTATAAAAGCGTTCACGGATCGTCTCCTACCGCTCTTCTCAGATCTACCTAAGTGTTGGCGCTTTGCATAGAAAAAATTCGGCGGCTCATCACTGCTGTTTACTGCTTGTACTGGCGGGCAGCTTTGGTCTGTTCAAGATATCGTTTCCCGATTTGTCGACTATCTCGGCATTTTAGCGAAATACGCTGGTGACGGTATCCCATGTGCCGCTGACCGGGGTTAAACGACGTGCATCCCGCTGCTGTCAGATGGAGAGTGTGAAATCGTCGGAAAACCCTTGACCAGCACCGTACAAAAAAATGTACCTGAAAAGGTATAATCATCCATAGGGTAATAATAGTGGCGCGATAAGAAACGCTACGGGCACCGTTAGTTGAAATGACGCATCCAACAATCGTCTTGGTACTGTTGAATACTACTTACTGATAGCCAACATCTGTTCAGCCAGACAGAAATATTATCCAGCTGGTTGAACAAAAGGCCACCAGGGGCGCTACGAACGCGTTGGAGCAATGCAGACGCTGCTTTGATATGGCGGGTGCTGTCCATTATGCCATAGATCTTTCCATATTTTGCATTATATTGCTCAATTTAAAAAATATATCCGTGTGAAATGAAGATCTCTTTCATCAACGATGTATACAGTACTCTAATTAGATGACGAACAAATTTATTTTTCTACAATCGTAATAATTTTTTTGCAAGATTCAATCAGTGTGTTCATCTCGAACAATTAGAGAGGACGAGTTCTTCAGGCAACTGTACATCATAATAGATCGTATAATTATGCCGATTTTTTTTATCGTTACGACAGTAAAAGCCATCTCGGTTGAATGCTAGTATTACTGAAAACAGCAGGAAATCTCGCATTTACAAAAACATGGTCAATACACCTAAAGCGAAATGCCTTCGAACAATTCACAGGTGATTCTTCACTGACTGAAGTCGATCAGTTGAAAACGATAAATTAAAATCAACTCAATTCGTACCCGTTCCGTATTTGTGTATTGCTTTGAAGAATAGTTATGGACACGCATTAAGGGAATGATTCGTTTAGTGCTGGAAACCAGCCGTTTGATGGAACGCCTAACGACAATACCACACGTTCAAACTCGAAACAAAGGAATAGATTAGAAAATTTTTAGATTATTAGTTATAGCATTTTCAGTCTATTAACCGGCATACTTGTATAAACTTTTTTTTTTATACTATAATGTACGAATCAGTGAAAAAAAAATTAGTAACTTTTATTGAGTAGTTATTATCTTCCTTACAGAGATTGCGTACATGCATTTTTCGACTGCAACCAAGATGTTATTGAATAAACAAAAGGTCACAAGTCAGCGCAATAGCACGGCATACGGATATTTTAGAATGTTCATTTAGTTCTTCACCTGTAAATTTGATGGTAACGGTTGCACAGACGTTACTAGCTAATTAGAGTAGACGTGAACCTCGATGATTATCATTAGCGTTAATTTCATCGCTTATCGTAAAAATGAACACAATATTAATGTTAGTTAACAAATATTAAATATATCTCAATTTTATTTTTATTGTACATAGCGCAAGGCCTTCACTCATCGAACACAAGTCAATGAGCTGCGTCAAACTCGACGTGCATAAAAACACATTCTCATATGTTTGCTTGTCACTCGCCGGTTCCTATAAAGCTTCAGGTAAGTTAAAATGCTGGCTCAAGTTGTTTGTATACGAGAGTGTATGGTTCCGGAGAGGGTCAAAGAAGCCTTCTCTCCTGTCAGCAAGCCCATTTCAAAACAGGCAAATGTAGCTAATACACGCGAGTATAAACCGCTGTCACTTTTCATCATTCCTCTATAGTGATATAGCATTGAAGGGACTGAGGTGGCCATTCGTCTGATTCGCGTCGTCTGCTCAAGCTTGCTATGTGAAACCAATGTAAATACGGCATGGCTACGAGCGTGATGCAAAGGACCCTTAGAGGAACTTTACCTAGTTTCGTGTCACAAATTGGTCGGCGATGCTACGTAAAGTAAGTTGATTGACTTAACTAGAACACCATAAACAATTTCGATTTCGAACTGTACAGAAAATCTTCAGTAGTCGAAACGCTCAAGGAGAAACAAGCCCAGCTAAAACCACTTCCATTATCTCTGTCAGATTGAGGACCCTATAGAATCAAATACATAAAAGCTCTTTTTTTATTGATATCTACTGCCTACCCAATGGTTTGCTAGTAGTCCTTGCGATATCACGACAAATTCTATAATAAAGTTCCTTGGTGTGAATCGCCCAAATTCTATTTAATCCATCTCCCTGTGTGTGATTGCACTGTCGTTGCCGCTACTGGATGACCTGAGTAGCGTCGTTCATCTGACCGGGTCGGGATGCGTGCGTTCGAGTTCATGCCGAACCTTATCCATTGAGTCCATTGAAGATGCAAAAGGGTGGTTGATTTTGACTCACCGACAATAAACACAAATTTATTATATAATTTTTTTACCCACCGAAGATATATTACATATGTTAGAAACACTAGTAACACTTTCATAAGCAGCTTACCAGTAACCACTATTTATGTAGTGATATATGAAACCTCGCATTGTTTTCGACATTGGACAAATATGTTGAGGTACTGATGGCTCAGCTACAAACCCTTTACTCGGTTTGCTAAGTAAGGAACATACACTAGCAATGTACGATGTTGAGCTGCGTAACTGGAGACAGCTGCCCAGAATAATGGTGAAACAGCTCTATTTTGACATCGTAAATAATAACTATTTGAATGGTTAGTGATAATTGTTAATTTTTTTTTATACTATTATATTTTTGTATAATTTGCACGTACAAATGATCAAGTGTCATACTGTAGCGTCTTCCGACCTGTAAACGAATACTTGGAAGTAATCACGTGAAAATAAAACGGGAAATTTTTTGCATTTTTTGTAGACTTCTTGTAGCTATCTAGTTCTATGCACATTCCGGATTGCTACAAGATAGGTGCTCCTACAGTTCCTTTTTTAACGAAGAAATTTTCTTATGGCAACGTGGTAGTCCGAATTTTTCACCCTATATGTCTGAAAGGCATATTTATGAGTTAGAAAACCTTCTTTAAACCGTTATGGGCATTACAAAGCGATCCATCCACCGCTTCGTATGAACTAACTGATGGTATTGTACATCATAAGGGATAAAGACTTATCTAATGATCATTTTATTGCTATTTTAATGGCCAGAAATCACTTAGAGCTATCTAGTTCTCTTTCGTTTTCGACATGTTTATTAGCCACAAATTATGTGAATATATATCACAAATGACACGTATACTTTTCTTATTAGCGTAAATGTTCCGAACAATTACCGTTCTGGTTAATATAGCGAGTAACGGAAGGCTATTGATTTACAAACTTCAGAAGTTCTAAATCTTCCAGTGGCGTACAGTTTACATGAATGTGAATTGTTTCGGTATGAAAAGACCCATTGGCGTCATTTCATTTCTGGGGAACGGGCGCGGTATTCAATGGGACGTTTTTGTTCAACTCTCCTGTTGGGAAAATTTTCATCCAGACTTCTTTTATATTGCGACAATAATGTAAAGGTGTGTGTATAGTCATCGTATGCGTACAGTGATTTTTGTGATTATTTGCAGATTGGCGGAAGTTGGCCGGCTGGATAGTCCAAGGGAGAGTAAATATGAGACTGGTCAGTTGTTTCTCCACCGCGTATTCGGCTATCGAGGCGTAACACTCTTTCCATGGACTGCACGGGTCTATGACAGAGACCAATCCACAGGCCGCGACAGTGCAAGGTATGCGCGAATCAAAACACACGCAACACTTTTTGTTTGGTATTTTTCGGCTGAATATCTCTAAATACAATTGGAAAGGTTACTAGAAAGCATCATCCGTTTGGATAATATAGCATCTATATAAACACGTAAGTATTCTTAATGCAGGTTCGCTTACTGATTTGTCTTACATCACTAAGGAAGTAGTCTAGCAAGAATTAAGATGACCAAGAGATCTCGTCTCTACGAAACGCTGGTCTCTTGCACCTATACCGTTTTCAATAAAACAAATCGTGCGCCACAATGGCTGCATTAGCAGGTGCGTACCGACTAAGGTTAGGGCGGAATGTCGTTTTACGGGTGAGGTCAAATAAGAGTTTATGATTTCTATGGTTATTCATAGCATTTTCTTTCATTAGTATCTCAATACTGTCTGCCACTTTTTGTTCTTTTCAGTGAGGCAGAACCACAGGTTACAGAAGCGTTTCTTCATCCGCGGATTGTCAATGGTCAGACCCAAATATACTATCAGGTGCGCTGACAACACGTTTCATCATTTACTTTGCCTTATTGTACAAAGTGCAGCTCCTAGTAGATCAATACATTTCAAATTTACCCGCGATTTATATACAATATAATAATAAATTAATAAATGTCAAGAATAATCTCTTTCACCGACTAATTTCTCTTCGAATTCGTTTTTGTTTTTCATGGCAAATAAAATGTAAACAAAAATCAGGCTGTTTTTACCTTATATGAAAGAAGGCTTTTAACTTACAATGCATGTATGAATTGATAAATGATTGTGTAATGGCCATTGCAGGTGCTGATCGACTTGCGAGACTGTCCGTTTGTTCGCACGCAAACAGAGGCGGTTACGTTTCTGGGCAATCAAGATAATAGTAAAGCGTCATTGTATTCTTTGCCCGGGCTCGATTACGTATCGCATGAGGACATTCTTCCGTATACAGCCACTAATGAGCAGATGATCCAACATGAACTTTTTGACAAATTTCTCATGCCCGAACCCCATAAAGGTACATGGTTGAAAAGCTGATGCCGCAGAAGTTCTCAACATAACCGCGGCAAAATTCATACATGTGATGTGTTTTTGGCCTGATATTACTCCAGTGAACTAAATCATTTCTAAAATAACTAACCCCAAACGGCAATCGGCCAACAAATGTATTATATAGACGTGAAAGGTACCATACTTTAAAAATGTCAGTTCCCCATTTCGTATAGCTTATTGATAATCTGGTTATAGTAAATCAGCACAGTTAACTTCGTGCAGTACCGAGTTAAATTTCCCTACTCTTTTCTTCAGCTGTATTTCTGTGTCATCATTAAGTATAAAATACAGTCCTATCTATGACTTGAAATTTTATAATTTTGCTTGGTTTACCTCTGTTTCGAGTTTTACGTCCGATATCGTCATTAGGCATTTCATCAAATTGCTGACTCCTAGTACTAGCGTTTCTGCGTGCTTGTCATATACCAATTTCAGATCCGCCGTTTGGGCCCCGGGAAACGCTTCGCGCCTGGCAGGATAAGAACCACCCGTGGTTAGAGTTAAATCAGGTTCACAAAGAGACGACGGAAGACGTGCGCGTGACAGTAATGCCATTTTACATGGGCTCTCGGGCGAATCCGGGGGCAAATCCAGAAGCAACTGTGTACTGGGTGGGTTTACTTCGACCTTATCCTTTAGTGCGATTTACGATTATTTTTTTCAATTCAAATGAAGCTTATCTTCATCACTGTAATACGAGTATTATAATAATATCATACTTGGTATTAGAATTCATACTAAGCTAAACAATTTGTTATAGTAATTTTGTTCTAACACGATTTGGTATCACTTCTCAGTGGCGCTATTGTATACGGCTTGAGAATCTAAGTGACAGAGCGGTGCAATTGCGAGAACGTCATTGGCGAATCTTCTCGCAGTCCGGCACCCTAGAGACAGTTCGTGGTCGCGGTGTAGTCGGGGAGGAACCTATTTTAAACAAGCGCTACCCTGCATTTCAATACGGTTCTCACGTGTCTTTACAAGCACCTAGTGGCCATATGTGGTAAGTCTCAAAACAAAACTAGAGCAACATAAACAGACTTGATAGCGTGTTCTTTCCGCTCTGTATGGAAAAGCGCTGCAGTAATTTTTTGATAAATGGGAATAATTTTGTAAGCGCTCAAATGTTTCGTGAATTGTCATTGAAGTTTGCAAGTCGCCCGCAGCCTTCTCGAAATTGAGCTAGAAATCAGCGTAAAACGATCACCACATAGTTTAAATGCAATCAACTTACTGACAACTTACTAGTATCATATCTTATCATTACGAAATTATAGTAAACAAAGACATATAAATCTAGATTTTTCTTTAACTGAGTTAACAAAGAAGCTATTTCCAGGTAACCCAATCTTAAAAATTTATGTTTTTAAGAACGCACGATACTAAACCATGTCCGTGAATCTGAGCAATCATAATGCCGTTATACAATCTTCAAGGGACTTTCTTTCGCTGTGTCGTGAAAATAAGTAATTTTTAACGACGTCACTTCCTGCTTGTAAATGTCATATCCTAAGTGAATAGAAAAAAAAATGGCGTATAACGCTATTTATTCGTAGTCAAACCAGAGCGCCTGCTCTACACTCGTGCTATATTATTCTGCCTAAAAAGGTGTCGCCGGTTTCTCCTACCTTGAAAAAGTGGAATCCAGAAGATACATAATCATTAACGTTCATAATTTTTTTAGGGGAAATTTTCGAATGGAACGTGAGGATGGCTACATGTTTGACTGCAAAATCCCACCGTTCAGCCTTGAAAGTAAAAGTGACCCTGAATAAAATATAGAAGTACAGGTTTGTGTGATCAAAAAACGACGCTGAAATCATGCTGAGTTGTTTGGACTCCGGACATGAACACTCGATCTGCAAATTTCAAGCAGCTTATTAGTTGGCAAATGGACGAGTACGAATTATGCAGGTTCTTCACTCATGCTTCTTTAGTTCGCTTTGTAGAGTAGTATGTTGTCTATAGTATTGAACCCCATATAAGGAATATGCTGACTCTGAAACGACAAGGCGTTGTACGCTATGTAAGCACATGTATCATTAAAAAGTCATAATATGCCTCAACACAATTGAACCAAGCAAAGAAATGTAAGTGGAATTGCTCTAGAAAACATGTGCGCTTTTCATATTTGTCTACTATTAATCGACTTGTCGTTTCGAGGATTTTCGAAGTTGTACAGAGTGAAGATATTGGTAGTACAGTAGAGCACAGAACGGTGGCTCGATTGTGCAGGGATGTAGATTGAGGGGACAGAGAATAAATTTCATGTCATGTATCGAAAATGATATAACATGCCCCACATAACGCAAAACGTCTAAAGGTGCCCTCGTATTTGTAGATCAGATAGGCATTATCCACATACGAACTTACTAAATGGAAATCATTGTCCAAGAAGATGATTAATAAACACGAAAATACGTGCACTCATAAATCTTAATAAAATCTTTATTACTGATATTACTGATAAATCTTAAAAATAAAATCATTAGCTTCTAAGAAGCCAATGATTTTATTCACCTAAATAGCAGCAAAGTTGTCTATTCATTAATAAAGTGGATATATAATATTGTGTTGGCATGACAGCCATTCAGCCCTCATAAGGTCGATGATTACGTAGGTTATACTTTCGGATCGTATCAAGTATTAACATACCAAGATTATTTATCAAAGACAATCTGATTCTTCCCAATTTAGCGTTTGCTATGGCGTACTAAACACATTAAGATTTTCAGCCGTTTTGTAAATAAGTTTCCACATTAGAGAAGAGGATGGAATAATATGGGCCAAAATGTATCTAACGCTGTCGTTTAAAGCAACCGGTGTCACGAATCAAAGAAGAATTATACCAGTATATTGGTTAAACAACTTGTCTTTATGTGGTGAAAATAAGGTATAATTCATGGATTTTCAAGAATATATCGACACCTATGTCGTTAGACGAGAAAATAGCTAGAATGTTGTTTTATAATTATTTACTGCTAGGTTAGGCAGATCAAAGATTATGATTCGTAGATCACATAGGCTGCCGTGGTTCTGCTGCGTAGTGCTGAATGGTCCAGACACAGAGAAGAGAGAAAGAAAAATAAAAATAAAAATGTGCTTATCGTTCTCGAGTCGATCGGACTAGAGCCTGTATTAGTATCATGTTTATGCGTGACTCGGGTATAAATAATTAGCCATTCTAACTTCTAATCCTCTATCATAATCATTCACAATGATACGACCTACAACGCTAATAACGTTTTGTCTGAACAATGCCTGATAACAATAACGTCGTAAAAATTCATTTCAAACACAACCAAATAAAACACATTGTTAACAACCACGACGTATATACAACAAGTGCGAAGTCTTAGTTTCTCCTATTCATTCATTCATTCGCTCATTGCTTCAGGCTAACTAAACGGAATTGTACACTGAGGCCACAGAGATTCTTCATTCTTTGTAAAATTAGCATCGATGGCATTCGGGGTCACGTATACTAAAAATGCAGGGACCCATATCGCCCACCCTCACCCAAACCCACACCGTCTTCAGGGTGATCATGTAGTATAACTTCACATAATAACTTCCTAAACGTGATTTGCTGCTCCGTGGAGCTCGGAGATAGGCGAAACTGTGATCGAGAAATAAAATGTTCTTTCTTTCTTCTACCGTGTAACAAAAGTTCTACGAACTGCAAAACAAATCTAGCTGTCCCATACAGCGTAAAGTTTATACATGAACTTTAAGACTCGGTAACACGATATTTCTAACCCATGTACGCACCGAAACAGATCTAACAGTTTTCTAATAGTAATAAAATTTTAAATCGAATATTTTTTGGGTAGAAAGAAACAGAACCGCCCAAGTATCCCGATTTTTGTGTTGCGTGTTTCGTTTCTGAGTATCCTTCCGCTGCGAGATGGTAAGCATTCTTCGGCATCCCCATTTATATCCACCATTTACATCTTATGAAAAGCCGTTCAAATTTGTATGAAAGTTATGTGGGTATTTCTTACGTTTTGCTTCTGTAGATCCATTATTAACTAAGCTTCTGCATCAGCTTTCGAAGCGTCTTCAATACTTAAACCTAGTTCCTATTTTGCTGCGTATGCTTATAACGGATAATCGTTTTATTTATGTGGGTTAATAGAATTTGTTTTTGGAGAGAGGTACGGCTCTGATTTTCTCACTTTAGACATTTCCGTAAATCCCAATGGCAATCGCAGAAAGCGCAGCGTTTTAGGCAGTCGTGCAACGTTCGAAATGTTTATATTTTTGAAGGTAGTTTCATTTTTCGAGCCCTAGACAGGGCCTGCGAAATACATCTTTCTGATAATGTAATAAATAGTTTTTTTTAAAATAGTTTTTTTTTTTTTGTTACAATACTTAACAAATTGTAAAAGAAGGAGAAAGAAGAGAGAACAAGTGAAATGTACAGTTAGGGAGAAAGTGAAAGCAGACTAACCGCCATAGAATAATAGGATCTGTAAAATATTCCAAGTGACTAACAAAATCAACTGAAAGCAAGTTGTAATGTGCAAACTATATTAGAACACCTGTAGAAGTGCGGTATAAGATATAAAGATTATTAAAACGGAAACAGATCTCCATCCGACTTATGGTTTAAACTAGGCTATACTTCTAATGCTGGAAGAATCGGTCAGTTAGCCAGTGACGAAAGAGCATTATTTGTTATTATTATTTGGATTTATTGTAGCTATTATTATTTTTTTTGGATTTACTGTAATTTCAATTAAAGGCGCAATTTGGTGTGATTTAAGGTAACACAGTATATATCCTAGGCAAGAAAACGAATATATTTACTATACAAAGAATGTGATATTTCTACTAAAGCAAGGTAAAATATATAAACCGGATAATATCTAAATTAAAAACAGTTGAAACGCGATAATTTTACGAACGCTAATAGTAACGTGTAATGTTGACAGTAAAGTTGGAATAGGATTTAAATATACCTTTGATATGATATAGTTCTGGTTGATTTGGATGTAAGAGGACTCACTTTAGTTAATAGTTCGACCAAGGTAATAAGATAACTGTAGAAAGGTAACGTAATTATTAGAATACTCCGACGGAAGGACAAAATGAAGAGTGTCGATATTTGTGCGGCAGGCTAACGGTACTATACTTTACAATAAAACAAACGTGGCATTATTATTCAATCAATAGTTATGAGTCGGTCATTAGTAAAATCAATTCAAGTAAAATCAAGCGGAGCTTGCGTGTCAATGTAGCTTTTACTACACAGAAATAAGTACTATAATCTTATTCAGTAATTTTTTTACCAGACTTACCAAAGCATACATTATACTCACGACTAAAACACTTAGCTCGGCGAAGTCTTCTGGTTGTTTTTTTCTAACACCATTTGCAAACTTCGTATGTATATAGCTTTTGCTAACGAAGGATTCCTGTTTATGCCCCGCTCATACAATTACAGCGTCTAGTTAGGGCTATTACTAAACGTAAAACGAACGTCTTATATAACAGACACACCTATTAATAAAACAGCAAAGCTTTAATTATATTGTTACGAGATAATAGGCTACGCGTGAAGTTGTCTGTTATTGGAAGGTGTAACTAGGTAAAGACACCGGGACGCAGATCGATCTAATGCGGCGATTTAATTATGGTTATACACACAGGTAGTTGCGCTTTGCATCAAACTTCTGTTCTGTGGCCCATTTTCCTTTGGTTAAAAGAAATTGTATATAGTATGTGCGCAGATGTATTAAGACCTCAAGCTGATAGTAATAAACAAGCATTTCTAACATTCATAACAAACAAGAAAGTTAATCTAACTATTAAGAAGAAATGTGCGTGCCATTGCATGAGTGGTCTAGCATTAGTAAAACTTTCTAACAAATGCTTGAATTGCTTATCTGGGATTATATATTGCTTATATATAAACTTAAAATTTTAAAAGTACATTTATTAGGGAAGATCCCTTGAAGCAACACAGTCAGTCGCGAAAGCAGTATAGATAGAATCGTAATATTCTGCGTATAGTCAAAATTGAGGACATGTTTATCGTTGTTTTAGTCACATGGGCTTTATTCATATTTTACAAACTTTTTTTTTATCTTTATATATATATATATATATATATATATATATATATATAATTTTTATCTTGTAGTTATTGTCGTTTTTTATAGATATGATAAAAACAATTTCAGTAAGAATAATCTGGATAAAGGCACACATACGACCGGCCTTCATCTGTTCAACTTGAACGAATACGAAGTTATTCAGCAGCATCCCGCCAAAAAATCGACCATGCCTACGACAGTACATTAGAGCGTCACCTCGACACAGCGGAAGGCTGCTTTTTACCGGACTACTATTCGTCCAAGTAATAAATGCTCCTAAATTGTTTTTTCCCTTTTAAGCCCATCGAATCATTGCTCAGTTACCTTTATACTGATCTTCGAATACCCTACGAATAGTATTAAAGTTCTGATATATTTACTATTTTGTGTTTTTCGCATTCTACTTTGCCAGTCGGTTGCCTCGTTTTCCAGCTTAATTTTACTTACTACCACTGAATTCTGCTCCTGATCCTTCGCCGTGTTCCCTGGTTTTGTCAATTGTTACCACTTCATAATCATAATTTACTATTAGAGCAAAAACGATTCCGTAATGAATCCCTTCTTGAACATCCTGTTTTATTTTCTATTGATATGGTCGTTGTTATCGATACCGCCTCCATCGGGCCTATTGAGGCCTATCACCCTTACATCCTTCTAAATGACAATACCTTCTACATCATGTTCTTGTTATTCCATTGAACTGCCTTCGCGTACCGCATTTCCCGTCTTCGACCACTGAGGAGTGCTACCTATTTTGCTAATTACAGTCACCCTTCGCGTCTTCGTTGTAAATAATATTAATAATAATAGCATTCAGCAATTATCAAATATCAGACAGTTCTGTTTCTTTTTTATAGATATGGTCATGATCAGTATCCCCATAATCGTCACTCTATTGTTTTTCTTTTTTTAAATATGAACTTTATACACGACGATGCTATCTAACAATTTCATCGTTCATTTGTTTCATAATATATAAAAGATATCGTAATATAGCCATTGAGTGTCGTTGACGCTCCACTCGCTTAGTTTAAGGCTTTAATTCCTATTCTGAGACATGATTGTCTCTCGTTAACTTGCAAACAAAATCGTTCGTCCTTCTGGTCCAGGTATTTTGCACTTCGGTCAATTTTTGTTAACAGTTTACAGAGTAGCAACAATATAATATCAGTAATAATTGTAATAGCTATAGAAGTCCTAACGGTAGTGGTGGCGATGATGAAACCACGAGGCGTGCACAACATCGTCATCGATCGGTTAGAGTGTGCGACAGCCATAACGCGAGAGGGAGGGAGGGAGGACCAGTGGAGAGGGCGCTTCGTCCAGCTTCCGTTTTCGACGTGTCTTCTCTCGCTTCTTTCCGCGATTCCCGTAATTGACCGATGATTCAACGTGGGTTTCACTAGACTTCCTTCTTACATCGCATCTACGATCCGCAATCAGTGCATCTCTTAGCGGTTTTTGTCGTAAAACATATATAGATAGAACATATATATAGATAAAAAATAAATAGAAAAATGTATTTGCTTCGAAGTGCTTAAAATACTCCCAATTGCTACAGCAGTGCCTCAACTTGGTTCGCTGCCCTATATGCTTTTCTTTTCCCATTCGATTCGACTATTCTGAAAGAATTACGCCCCTTCGGCCACTTTGGTCTGTCGGCTTTCGCACCGTTGCTTCTCTTTCCTTCGGTCTAGTCCGCCCACCGCCTCCTGCTTCGTTATGAAGATACTCTTTAGGTTAGAACTGCATCTGCGGTTTTACCCTTTCGGTTTGAATGCTAAAAGCACGTCGTTATATTTTTTGTCCAAGTAAAGTTGCCCAGCACAGACATACGTACATATACATATATATCCACGATACAAATAAATACCGTAGGGTTTTCCGATAATCCCTTGCTGGTCATAATGAATAAACGTGATTTGTGTGCACATAGAAGACTTCTCATCAACATTCTCATAACCATCGTTGTCATTCGTCAGAGTTGTACAACGAATAGAATATGGTCAGGCGGTCAGTTCAGATTGAAGGATAGCCGCCACCGTCGTCGTCTCCTTCTCGCCTCTTTTTTCATCTTTTGTCGCAAGTGGCGAATATGTCGTCCAATCATCAAAATAGTTCTAAATGATTGGTGTAATAAAGAAGAACCGTTCAGTGTCTACCTAAAACTGGACCCAGCTTAGGCATGTAACGTCACCCGCACCCGCACGTCCCTCACTACGTGTTTCTTCCTATTCAATAATAACTTCTGTATCTATATATATTTATATAGATTGAAGGGCACACCCCGTGTGAAAATATTTTACATGACCACTATGTAATAAAAAATTTAATGTTAATATTATTTATATGTAACAACAGGTAGCACCCACTGACTGTCACGTAGGCGCCTCGAAATATTATAGTTTAGTTGATTCACAGCAGCTAGTACTAGTAAACGGAGTATGAAGACGGAGGGGTCCTGCCAACAAAAGAACAATTAGAAAATCACAAAACGAGAATCTGTCTACAAAGCGGCCAGATGACTCTGGCTTGTCCGGTTCCTAACCTACAAAAAAGAGACCTAAGTCTGTGTACTTATGTGAACTATGGTCTCTTTCACATAATAAGACATAGTTGCAGCGTGGTAAGTGAGGCAGGTGGACAAAAAAGTGTTTTGTCCGAGACAAAACCTGACACCTGTGTTGCCAGCTTTCTCATTGAAGGCACATTGGACAAGGTTTAAAGGCACATCTAGGGCATAGAACAGTTGGCTAAAACCACTCCATTCTGCTATTAGGTGTGGAAGAGGCACGTCATTCGATCAGGTATGGTAGCATTGCAACACTTTGGCACCGAGATAAGACGTTGACAGTTACTAGATAGCTTGATATTAATACATTATCCCCGCAGGGTACCAGACTAAATGCGCTAAAAGCAGTAGACACTCGTTGCCGTTACTCTCCAGTTCAGTTCCACCACAACAGTGATTTCAAGTAATCTGAACTGCTAATATATGTGCCCAGGGACGTGAGGTTATCGCACCATTTCTATCGAAGTTAAAATATATTTCCAGGAGTTAAATGACAACAAGCTTACATATATAACTACACTGCTCGATGAAGGCTACTCTACCTATACGGCGCAGCGTTTTGTGTCGCCCCTGTTTACTTGATTCGAACTTTGAAGACAGGTTCATTGTTGCTTATCATTATGCCAAGGGATTCGAGCCCATCATTTGCCGAATAGCTAGCAGTCATGTGCGATATGTACTCATTAATAAATATGGGTCGTCTACGATATCATATTTATGCAGACATGGGATGTCGTTAAAAAGACCAATTCATTGCAGAGTGAAAATGGGGAGTTCCGATATGTCTGATGGCCTCTGGTAGTTTTGAAGGTTTCACGAGATGACTGTTGACTGCTAAAAAAGCGCAGACGTTAGTTCAGGAAATCCTGTGGTTGTTTGTCGATGCCTCCCCATGATCGCCACTTAAGTCATCGCGCTAATGTCAAACTGTTTCTCCGGCCTAGGTTTTTAACCTATCTCTGTTGGCCGTCACGTTGGGTACTGAACAACCCACTTGACCCAGAGAACCCTTTATCAGTCCTGAAAAAGTGACATTTAAGTCCGAATTATGGATTGTTGTGAACTTTTGCGCTGTTGCTTCTTTTGTTGTGTTATGCATCGTCATTTACTCCACTTCATTAATTGACTCAGAGGACACAGGATCGATGGTTTCTACTTGTTGTTGTTGTAGATCATTGCTACTGTCGGCGTTAGCGTTGTTGTTAGAATCATCAGCCGATTCAGTGGGATTGTTGTTCGGACTCAAGTTAGCATAAATTTGGTCGGGACTGACATGAGTTTCATAGCTGTTCCCAATAAAGTGTTGCGTTAACAACGTTGAAGATTCAAACTGCTCTGGTTGGTCAGACACGACTTGATCGAAGTTTGTTTGTGGCCTAGTGCCAGCTAGGAGAGCTTTCCGATCAAAGAGCCCTATTCCTTGAGAGAGTGCCATACAATTGCCGTATAGACGCTGACAAGGTTCAAGGACGTTATTCACTGGAATGCAGGGCATATTAGGGCACTTGGCTGAAAGCAACTTGTCGACTGCAACGGCCTCTCCCGGACCGGGTTCGGGTGCACTTAGCCCCTTGTTAATGACGGCTTGTAGTTCACGGGTGCACGTGAAAATATCGGCGATTAGGCCCAGTGGATCTCGCGCAGCTTCGGACTCTTCAGTGATATCTGGAAGTAGCTGCTCTGTAGGTGAACCCATCATCTCTGCAATGAGGGCCGCCTTTTCAGCCAGAAGTCGATGGATTTCATTATCAATACGCTGCAATTGCGCTGGAAGCGTGATCACAGGCTGCGCAGTCTCCAGTTGTTGGCTCACTGGCGGTTCTTCCATCACTGCGTCTCTATAATTCTGCATGGGCTTTTCCTCGAGGATCTGATAGACACGGTCTTCGTCTTGGCTTCGAATGATGGGTTTCCGTGTATCTTTAGATTCATCTCCCGTGGCGGTAGTAGTCGTTGAAGGAAATATTAGTGGTGGTTCCGTTTCCTCCTGGAGATATTGCTCCCGATTCACAATCCTGTCAAGCCACTTATTTTTGTCGCTTACCGAATGTGCCACAAATTCGTAGATGTTTGATGTGCTGATATCAACGAGAAAGAATCCCATTTTATTAGTCGCAACATCGCGAATATTGATTATTTTGGACCAATTTTGCCGCGGGAAGTCAATGACTGGCGGAGTAAAGGCGGACGTCTCCTCAGATAGTTCTCGCGTATGATAGCGTAAGTGGTACTTGTCGTCCTGCTTTTGGAGGAGGATCAGGAAGTCATCAAACAGCATAGCCGTGATTTCTATTGATTTCGATTTAGTTAGCTTCCACTCCAGCACGCCTTCATGAATAAGCTTGTGTTTCGAAAGCGTCGGATCAGAAAATAGTGGATGGACTTCTATTTTCTGCTGCTTTTCTTTCTTTTTTCCGCCGCTCTCGTCAGTTCGCTTGTCGTCCTTAAAGCGCTCGTCACTGTAGGTATTTTTTTCCTTTGGTGGCCAAACTTCTAAATGCTTTTCGACCTCACGCACTCGGTTCTGGTTGGCTATTTCGCCTATGGTCCGATTGACTTTGGCGAGGATTCTCTTTGAGCTCTCTCGGGCCATATTAATTTGGTCGTACTCTTCTCCCGGTTGTGTATACCTTAACACTTGGTCGAGCAATAGGGGATACTTAGTAAGTCTTTGATGTGTAGTGGCAATGATCTCTTTGAGGTGTAATTTTGCGCATTCTTTTTTCATGGACGCCTCCGCCAAAAATTGTTGCAGTTTTGGGTCTTTCTTCTGTTTGGCTTTAAGTTCGTCAAGTGCTGTTGTTTGATCTTTACAAAATGTTGCAATAGCCAGTTCTAGTCTTGATCCACCTTCTCCGGTGAAGAACTCAAGCATTATAGGGCCCATATTACCGACAATTGGTTCCTGCTTTCTTTTAAACTTCATCTTCTGGTTCAGCTCAGAATGAATTTGAATGAGCTCATGAAGATTTGGAAAAAGTTTGCCTAATAGACTCTGATCGAGGAGTTTCATGAGAGGTTCGTAATAGACTGTAGAAAGAATCTTCAACTTTCGAACATGAAGGCGCTCTGTGTGAAACAATTCATTCAGTACGTCTTGTCGCTTCTTTTCCTTGGGTTTAAGCTGTCGAACTGTCTCGAAACCGACAAGGTCTTCCCATTTAGGTAGTTCATCATCACAATCCATGTCACTGTCCGAGTGCACCATCTTGTCCATACGGGGTTTGTCGTCGGCATCGACATCTGATTTCGACCGTGGTATGTTCGGGTCGGAGCGCTTTCGTAATGTGTTTCTGCTTTCCCTTCTTTGACGGAAGCTTTCGGAGCGTCCCACAGGGGCTCGAGACGTGGACAGCGGTGAACCTCCAGAGCTGCCAGACAGTTTGTCAAGTTCGGTTGCCGAGTCGTTATCATCTTTGCGAAACAAGCTTCCAGTTGTGGGCCGACGAGTCGCTTTTTTACCGCGAGTTCCTTCGCCTACGCAGTTCTCGTCAACATTTTTGTGGCACTGCTTATGTATATTCATATCGCAATTACTGCACTGAAGGCCCTGATCGCCTACGCCCCACAAGATATCTTGGCATACGCTGCAATGCATCACTCGATTATAATGTTGACCCTGAAAGCTATGGCCAAGTATCGCTATGACAACAGGCTTTTTGGCGCGCGGTGGAAACAGATTAAGCTTATTACGAGTCTTCTCCTTTGAGACAAAGGTGGGAATATGTTCCAGGACCTTCAACCCTGCCTCCGTCTTAACGACAGTCAGCTTGAGTACAGTGGCTATAGCTGATAACATGGCGCCGGTCTGATTGGGTAAAGTATCGACTTGGTCCTGCAGCGGATATTTTGTCTTGCAAAGCGCCAACAATATCGTTTCCCAGTCCTTGATAGTATCTCCATGATCACACTCGGTGATGCCGTGATGATAGTCGCAGGTTTTGGACTCGACATCCCGTTGAAACTCCTCGAGCTGCGGCTTGAGGTGTATGGTGGCTGCCATTCGTGCGCGGACGAATATTTCTCTCAGTTCTGTTTCCGTGACGGTTGAACCCTCATCGATCAGCCTCATGTAAGTGTCAATCGTTTGAAGAACGTCGTCATCTAATGTCGGATCAATGCACAACGGGGCGTTCGGCGCAAGAAATGTTGACGTGATCTCGTAAGCCCACTTGGACATGTCGTGCTGTTTGCCACTTTTGTACTGTTCGACGATGATGTAAAACAGAAATGGCGCTGGATTCATGTTATTTTGCAGAAGGTAGTGTAAAAACATGGCTACTTCAATTGGTTGGCGCAGCACTTTCCAGCCTTTAAGAAGTGATTCACCTAGGCCAGGCAGAGCTCCAGCTTCACCAAGCGTCGTAAACCCACTCTGATCAGGTGCGAAAAGATTTAGGCCGGCATCACTTTCTGTCGAATCCTGATGCTCAAATGGCGCTCGACCGTCATTTGGATCGCAGCAAGTGATACCGGTTTGAGGTAAGGGAGGCAGCGGTCGATTGGCCATTGGCTTCGTATTTGACTGCAGCAGTGGTGAGCTATCATCAGTGTCATATTCGTAAGCCTCATTCGGCGTGCCCCCCACATCTGCTGGCTCCCCGAGAGGAGGTTTTACTAGGTCCGGAACGATCAATTGTCCCGTGCTCGCAGTGACGCCTGCAGACGTCACGCCCCCCGAGCACGGCGTCCACGGGCCCATAGTCGATCCCTCCTCACAGGGGCTCCTGTAGATTAGGGAGTCGGGCGACGATCGCTGTCTGTGGTGATTACCGAGCAGCTGAGCCCTTGCAGGAGGGGTGCTAAGAGAAAGTGTGTGTGGATTGCCAGAGTGAGATGGCGAAATAGGTATGTTTTCCATCGAAGCAGAACTTGTCATGCTTCTACCTGGCGTTCCACTACTTTTCGCGCGTCGCGGAGGCTGTTTTCCTAGGTCAGGGGTCGCTTCACGAGACGGCATACTACTGCAGGGCGGTGGTGTTGTGGCCGCAGCTTTTGATCCTTGGGAACGCCGCATTTGTTGCATTTGCTTTTCCAGCTTTTCAATTGTGCGTTGAACGTTTTCCAGGTCGGTGCGCAGCCGTTCATTGTTATCTCCGCCAACACCGCCTTCACTCATCTTATTCAGTAGCTGCTGCCTCTGCCGTACGCTCTCGCTTAGCATTCGCTGTATCGTCTGTAGAGTGGTATTGTTACATTGCGCCATCACGTCGGCGTCAACTGGCTGAGGACCTGTGATACGGTCCCGCGCATCGTCCTTTTTCTGGCCAGTTGTACTTCGCGTCTGATTTGGGGTCAGACTACCCTGAACGAGTATGAAGCTCGTGCCCCGTGACAAACTTGGAAATGGGCGGGCTGACTGCATCGGAGGATGCTGGCCTGGTGAGGGCCCAATTAAAGTCAGCGCCACATATTGTCCGCTACGGATAAGCTGTACAACTTCCTGATGATTATAACTAGTTACTAAAGTCCCGTTGACTTTTTGGATTTGGTCACCCTCCTGGACCCCGGCACGGGCAGCAGCACCGCCCGGTCTGACGTCCTGTACGAAAACAGGGTTATCCCCAGACACCGTGAGCCCGTAGCCTCGTTCATCGCGTTGCACGATGACACACCGAGACGCTTGGGCCTGCGGTGCCTCGGCGGGCATCTCAGCTACCGTCGGCGCCGTCATAACATGGGACATGCTACGACGAGCCAGGTGGTCACCCTTGCTAAACGAGCCTAACCGTAGTCTTTCCATGATAAGCACAAGGGCACGGCAAGGCCAATCAGCTACGGGGGCAATTGGGGTTGCCTAGAACTACTATGAAGGTAGGAGGAGCAGCGACAACTACAACAACAATACCTACCCCAGCGACCGCAGTAGCAGCTGTGAACGGTATGATCGGTATTGGGAACTGTTGTTTCGAACCGCTGCTGTTGTTGAATCTGCTGCTGCTGGCGACGATTCAGATTTTGAACAAGGATGGTAGTTGTTTCCTGTTTCCGTTGGTCGAATAACGACGTGCTAATAATGGCACTAATAGTAATCGTAATGTCCGTGAGCGTGACGGCTATGGCTACGACAGTGACAATACTCAAGTACAGCGGCGGCCACAAAAACGTCAACGACGCTGACAATAACAACGACAACAGCAACGGGAGTAGCACGGGTTTAGTTGTTGTCGAGGGGCACAGAGTCGTTGGGGCGGTGGCGGTGGCGGTGGCGGTGGCGACGAGAATCTGTGGCCGCCTTTCGGGCATCGCTCGCTACCGCCCAGTCGCCAAAGGCGGAGGACGGAGCAGTGGTGGACACAGGGTAGAATGAGACACGATGATTTTTGTCGGGTGCTTCTTCAAGCCCTCCGATTGGCTGGGGCTAGAGCTTGCTGACACAGTCACAGTTCAACTAGTTTTAAGCACACCAGCGTAACAACAACAATAACAACAACAACAACAACAACAACAACAACAATAAGCCCATCAGTCGAGTACCATCAACGGGCTACTAGCGGAACTCACAGGCACACGGATACACATGCCCTCAGCGAACTAGTTGACACACTACTAAGTCTCAATCTTAATAGCTATCGCAGTAGTCATTCATGTAGGCACCAAGACCAGCAGTAGCAGCAGCCGCTGCAAGAGCAGCGATGGTAACGACGATTGTAGCGGTGATGCTGGTGAACTCAATAATAAACACTGAACTTTCCTCACTTTTCCTCAGTTGGCTAAAAACTCATTAAAATTTGGACGGTATTCCGTCGTCGTCAGCAACAAACCACACTACATAATTACTACAATTTCATACTGTACACTTTACACAAGCAGCCCGATCATCACCGGACCGATCAACCGACCGACCCATCCACCTAGTCGACCACATGAACAATTCTTGCCTGCTGCCTGCCTGGAGTAGCACTAGTCGTCGTCGTAACAGTGGCAGCTAGTTTGCTTCCCTGCCTCTGCTCAACTAGCAGCTCACTCACAGCAGCAGCAGCAGCAGCATCAGCGGCCGCAGCAGAAGCAACCACTACAACAGCATAAACAGCAGCACAGCACCCGGCACAGCAGCAGCAGACGCAGCAGCACAACATACGGGCGAACGGAGACACTCAACGCACAGCGGCTCACCGCAGCTGCTGCTGTTTTGTTGCTCTGTAATATACACGGCGGCACACGGGCCGATAGCGCCGGGTCACTTGCTCTTCTCTTTCTCTAGCCTGTTTTTTTCTTGTTCTTCTATGCGTGCGTGCGTGCGTGTCTGTCTGTCTGTCTGTCTGTCTGTCTGTCTGTCTGTCTGTCTGTCCGTACGTCCGTCCGTCCGTCCGTCCGTCTGCCTCTACCTGCGCCCAATCACTGTTGCCGTCGCAGCTACTAATTGTGGTAGTGGTAGTAACAATAGCAGCCAACCAGCCCGCCAGTATCCAGCGGTAAGCCGAGGGCAGCAGCAGCACTTAGTGCCTCCCTTTCTTTGTCATTTACTGTCCAGCACTCTCCTCCTCCAGTTGTTGTGATTGGTGTTTTCTGGATAAACGGCGATTGCCGCTACCGTTACCGCTAGTGGCTACGGCGAGAGAAAGCGCGAAAAAATGAACGAGTGTGCCAGCCACACTGGTTGACCCCCTATGAACTAGTTGCCTCCAGCAATTCTGCTGCTTCGTTTATCAGCTGGAAACGACTTAGCAGCAACAGCAGCAGTCGTTCTCCTTAGTTGTACTGGCTGTTGATACAACAGCAAAACTTTACCACCATCGGAATCGAGGAGCAGCACGATCATCGCGGCTCTATGACACCACCATCAGCAGCAATATCGTCACCGCCCGCGGCAGCGGCAGCAGCAGCAGCAGCAGCAGCACACGACCACCACCACAACCACCAGCGTACAGCATTATTAACAAGAAAAAAAAGAAAGCGAACTTTTCCGCTAGAGTCCCTATCACTATAGGACGGCAGTCCGGCCATCTATTCATAACATAACACAATGACATTCAGAGGAGTCCCAGCGGACGCAGCAATAGCACAAATAAAGCACTACAGGAGAACTATTCGATTATATTTAGACATTATGACTGGTGACCGCCATGTTGCTTGTTTACCCTCTATCGCTGGAGGACCTTTAGCGAAAGAAACCCCGATGAATGATCACTCACGTAAGTGCGTTCTCCTTAACCACACACTGCGATAGGAAGCACCCAGATAGAAGCTTCACAGATTTGCACACACACCACACGCTTACACAGAATAGATAGATTACGTGACGGTGGTACGTTTGAGCCGTCACAATGAAACCCCAACACAATTAAGCCACTTCATGGAGAAGCCGAAAAAGAACAAAGGTTTCAATAAAAAATAAAAGCAGTTGAATAAAGTCGATGAGAAAAGTGCCAGATTGTGTTTGAGGTCATTTATTCTCAGTGTCTAAACTTCCCTGCTGATACTGTCTATGCGGGCATCTTTATCAATCCACCGTCTATCACCTGTCACTGCATGAATGCGCCGTCAAGTTCATCACAGCCTTATCTTTCTGCTTCTAAAATTCTTTTGTTGCAAGAACAATAAAATGAAAGCTTCGTGCACGTACATGCTTATGGGCATTTTGCTTACGATAAGAGTGATCAATTATACATTTTTGTGCAAGCAAGCTGCATGCTTATGCGAAAACGTAAATGCGAGCACTTGTTTACACATAAGGAATAACAGAGTGCGTTACAAGACAAAAAGCTGTATGTTCCAGATAGCTTCTCATACAGCTGGTCACTTCTATTTCGCATCGTCAAGGGATTGCTGGACTGAATAATTATATCTATTAGTTATCATTGTTTTCTAGTCAAGCAGAAACCCATATTATATAGAGTGATGTAATTTTTAATTGGCTGCAGATGAGGCGATAGAGAGCTTTAGATCTCTGTATTTCAACGTAGTTCCATTGTACTAATCATCTGCATTTTAACGCATGTAGGATCCTATTTTTTTAAGTTATAAAGAAGTTTCGATCGTTAGACGTTTGTCAAGCTTGCTCCTTTCTTGGAAGCCTTGTTGAAGAAGTGCCACGAAAATGGAAGCTAAAAACCTGAAGGCTCTGTTTACCTATTCTTAAGAGTGACTGTTTGTATATTCTGTTGTCTATCTAGAGCGGTTGAATCAGTACTCCATACGGTGAACTTCACGTCGCTAGAAAATAGGTGAACCCTGCTCGCGAGTCCAAAAATTTTAATTCTGGCAACAAGTAGCTATTTAACGTTTCTTCTAGATTTAAATTTAGCTGCTTTGAAGCAGCACAACTTGAGGAAACGTATTTTTTTAACTGCAAACCAATCATAATGTTTTTATCACACAGGTTATAGAAACAACGCTTGGTTAACAGGAGCATCTTTCTGCATTAGATAATTTGAATCCAGACCTATTATGCAATATGGGTAATTCTGTGGTATATAATAAACGCGCGTTGGATGATAAGTAAATTTCATCACTAGGAAACATAACCGTCTAAGTATATTGTTTGTTTACAGAAGGCATTAATGTGTATATTTTTATACAATGTGTATCTACTCGATGATAGCGTATTCTTGGAAACGGCATGGTTTTCGATTGGAACGTTATCTATATCCTCTTAACGTGTCTCGGAGTCGATGGAGCTTACCGTTATATATATGTCCTATATGGCAGGAGATGTTTATGATACTTCATTGGGACTGATTTAAATTACCTAAAGTGTAAAACATTTGCTCTTAATGTCAGTGTTAGAAGTAGGCAAAAAAGCATCGAGTTTGAACCGTGTGTGTTTGGTCTACATAGGTTAGTGCTGAACTTAACTGCGTCAAAATACTGCACGTACTTATACTGCAGAATTAAGTAATCTAGCGAACACGAATCTGTGTGGGTCTGATAGTCTAAACAAGAAGTTGTTTCTGGATACCAAATATAAGCGTATTTCACATTATCCTATGCGCCCGTTGGATGTGTTATAGAGATCCGGATCTAATGACTCAGTCATCTTCTATGACTAAACAAATGACACACTATTTGATAGATAGATATGTGTTATTCTTAAGTTGCAATAAAAGGTGGTTACAAGTTTAGGTTTAGAGCAGCCGCTGTCTGAAGCAATACCTAATTGTAATACTGGACATAAAACTAGAAACATCTGTTTATATATTAAACACATACTAACTAAATGGAGTAATTTGAGCCTTATCTCTTTTTTGTTTATGTTTTCTCACTAGTATATCAAACAAACATCAGTTGCCTCACAGACAGCATTCTTCTAATCTACTATCAAGAATTAGTAGTCGCAGTCTCGAACGTACGTAAAGTTTTGAATCACCTAGACTATAGAAAATCGAAACCCCTCAGCAAGATTCAGAACCACCTCAAGATACTCAAGTAACCAAGCAGAGACGTTACGTATAATCCTTGTTATAGATATAACGGTCTCATGTAGTATACGCTGCCGGGATATTCTGATCGGGCGATTCAGGTATTTCAAATAGATTCGAGGCTCCATCCTGGTTTTCATTTTCGAACTATTATATTTCGAACTAGATCAACACTTCGTGCATTATACTCCTTCGATCAATGCCTCTTAAATCAATTTATCCAGCAGGATTTCTCACAAAGACTCAAGACATTAGATTGTTGAATTAACTTTATTATTGAAAGTTCAGTAAATTGTGCACTTGTAAAATCTTTTTCTAAGCAATCCGAATACGTGTCACTGCTAACTTTCTCACTTCGGATCCGATAAATATGTTACACATAACAACTCGTACTGACATTATTTGCTTGTCACACTATACTTCTTAAGCTGGTCTCAGTTATCATTCAGGTTATAGCCAAAAGTGGATATAAATATATAGCGTCATTGCCAAACTCTTCGAGGCAGGGTGTTATCCCGTTGTCTCCTTAACGGACTGATATTTTACTGATACTACAGTATTTTATCGAAATACATCAGCTCTGGTATCAATCGTTTTCTAGTCAGAAATCAAATAGTCTACTCCACAATATTTCAACTAGCACTTAGTAGTCTTCCTATGTTTTTAAACGTAACCTGATTATTGCAAATTACAGCTCACCACTGTCATTGCTTACTGAAGTTATACTCATGAACTATAATAGCTTTGCAAGTTCGCTTTCACTCTAATGGCACCAGCAATGTTTCAGCGATATACAGTCGGCTGTGCGAATTAATTCATTGACCCGTTTCTGTATCCTCGTTTAAGCAATATACCTTGCAGATCGGCAGATGTGGTAGTGAAAAACAGCACACCCTGGAAATACGCAAGATGCTTGTGAATCGAGAAAAAACAATTCGTAAGAATCTGAAACACTACGAAAGGTAATGGACGACGCCACGTTATGGTTTTCACTCATTTGGTTTCACATTCTCAATTTCGTAGCTGATGCTTCCTGTGACTGGATTTAGAACTCAGTAGTTCTTACGAAGAGGTCATATTCCCTAAAATAAATTGTAGTTTTTCTATCTGTTTGGATCGTTTCGTCTTTTTTAGTATAAAGCTGTAGCGACTTATGAACCTACACCAGCAAATAATTTCTTACATTATTCATGCATGATATAAGACGTTATTGATAACGTTTCTAAAAATACAGCCATACTGTTATTTAAGGGAGATATTATGCCTTCTCAACAAACTAGCTAGAAGCATTAGGATTAATTGCAGGATTAACCTGACGTCGCACTAGATGAGTGGAGATAGTTCTTCATTTTCCAGCTCAATTAAGCACTAAAGTGTTTCTAAATAAGTAAAAACACACACGGTTGTGCGATACCTTATATCTATTTATTGTTATTATTGCAAATAGGTAGTTTTAATATCTTACATAGTATATATATATATATATATATATATATTTATATATATATATATATAAGAGGCTGCTCAATGAAAAGGTAGATGAAATGTACTGAACCTCATTGCTCTCTTTCGACGATGAATCACTTTATTTTCAGCTAGTAGATCCAATTATTTTTGTTGGATCATATATGAGTTTGTGTTTTCGTGTTCGTTTGTAGATGAATACGTGAATATGCCTAAAAGTGATTTCTATTTATGTTGGTGGTGTTAGCGTAGGCTATAATAACAATAATCCAGATGAGTGAAACTAACGCAATAATACATTAATACGTTTCGTAAGGAGCAGTACAGATTAGAATACAATGATGAGAACAACCAGCAAAATAATGAAGAAACAACAAGACCATCAAGAAATAGCAGACGAAAAAAACATCTTCTGACACAAACCATTTGAAACTGGGACAGGGCTTGAATTTATAATAGAACTGGAATTAGCTAGCTTTGATAGACACAAATAATGTAATTCGTATGAAGGTAGCTTTCAAACATTTAAAAACTCAATAGCCCCAGTTTGGTAGCGTTTAATGAAACTATGTTTTGTTTTATTGATTTCGGGGTGCAATTTCGCTCTAGTACCTCAATGTCAGCCGTCCGTTCAACAATCTTGTTTGAGATAAAAGGTTCCCCACTATAAGGTGCCTGTACAGATATCTCATGCAGGTGAAATAATATCAGAAACAGGTCCGCTGTAAACTAGTCTAGGGCAATTTGCTTGCACGTGCACCTCACCAAGAAACACTAGACAGCTATCGATTCAACTAGCAATCGACTGCAAGGTGTGAAGTTATGCAGATACGTGAAGCCCTCAAATTCAGGATTGACGCTATTTTGATACTCACAACATTTCAAACAGTTTACGATCCAGATTTAAAAATTTAAAAATCTAGTTGGTTTCGTTTACGCATGCTTGTCATCGTTTTTGTTTGTGTGCATGTTACACGGCATGTTACAGGTTCCTTAATAACAATTAATTCCAAGTGAAATGTAATGCTGGGCGGGCACAATTTAAGACCATTCAGTTGCAACATAACCATCCTAGTCAGTAAAATGGGCGTATTAATATTTTTTTTTCATATTTCTAGTGAAATTCACTCAAGCTGGGATGCATGGGTTATTTTATATGAAAGCATCGAATATGGTTTTTTTTTCTAGCCGTGCCATTTTGTCTTATACTTTAAACCACGAGTTAGCTTTAAATTCCGATTTATGATGTGTATTCATTTGCTTCTTTCTCTCTTTTTATCCTATTTTTTTGGAACTCGCAATGATTTTCTTATTATTTTGTATCGCGCAGCGAAAAACGGGGAAGCCTACAATCAATTTGTTTGTAGGCGATTTTATCTATATATACTTAATTGTGTACCTATGGATCTATATATAATTATATATCATCCAAAAGAAGAGCATCCTTTCTTGCTTCCTTTTGTGTCGCTCATACAAGCATATGATATCATATCATCACCATCTGCGACATTGTTTTCCATAGACAGTTATTATATTGTTTATTATTATTACTATTGTCATTTCGTTTCTATACACAGTCGCATTTATACACAATATATAGTTGACAACAATATTAATTCATTGATATTTATAATCATAATACCAGTGTCACCAATCATACTTAGTTTACTCATTTTCATTCTTTCGAGTCTTCCTCACGTTTTGCTTGTTTTGTGTTTTGTTTGCAAGGTTTCTTCCAGTCATCATTATCATTGTTATTACCGTTATTCTTACTATTCTTTTTATAGTCCATCTTTAGTGTCGATCACTTCTATTCATATTTTCATTATTACCTGTATTATACTTCACACACTTAAATGAATTCGATTTCACCTTTCTAGGTTCCATCGGGTTTTATGTTTCTTTGCATGTGTCGTCTGTTTGCGTTCTTCCTATTGTTGTCTGTTTTTCTCCAGTCACGCATCCGCCGATTCCATCTGTTTTCAAAGTTGCGCGTGTCTCTATGTTTATTTGTATCAGCCGTAGAGCATCAATGCAACTTTTAGAACTATTACATTTACCACGACGATGACACTAATGTCTAGTATCAACGTTATATTTCCTTTCATATAGTATTTGTCGTACATGAATAATGGCTGTCTTCTGTTACAGAAATCGTAGCAATAGTAATAGTAATAAAACTAATCTGACTTGTGTGTTTGCTTTCAATAACTATAATAAATACTAGTTAGTTAATTAATTTGTTACCAATTCAACTACAGGCCCCGAATGAAAGTAACACCTAGGGCCCAATTCACGCATAGCTAATGTTGCTTAGTTACAATGTCGATGGTACAATGATTACAATGTATAACAAAAATCTAACGATGATTTTCGGTTCTTTATTATGCATGTGCTACCGCTGCTGCTGGCGTAACATGTTTTTCGTTTACGTTTCGTTTGCGCCCCCTTTGTCAACCAGTCGCCCGTTACCCGTTGCCTTATTATACTCATTACAAAAATGTCGTTTATCGATATTTGAGGATCTTCTAATACCTTTCACCTACCTGCCGGTTTTATTTCGAGTAGGTGTAGAATTGAAATCGAGGGTATTCTCTCTCGGTGGTCGTTTGCTTCCTTTGTTGACCAAATATGATCGCTTCTCTGAGCAACATTAACATTTGCGAAACCAAATACACCAGCGATTAATGGATCACAAGATCATCTGCGGTCGAAATTGACGCTTTAATAATAATAATAATAATAATAATAACAACATCAATATGTATTTTTCTATAATATCCATCAGTGTTTGTGCACTGTACCACCACTGTATATACATGGCAGCCGGGCAATGCGGGAGCACCAGTAGCAATGCATGGGAAAACGTAATAGCAGTAATAATTATTGTTGTTACACACGTTATTATTGTTGTTTCTGTTGTGGCAAAAGGAATTGTGAGTTTTGTCTCATTGAACCGACAGCATAATATTGAATCTATTGCAAAGTTGTACAGAATTGTATAGGGTGTGCTTGTGTGAGTGTATCTCTAACTTCTTTCCTGTTAACAAGTTTCTGTTGTGTCTAAGTGTACCTTTCTATATTATTCATCGGCTATATATATATATATATATATATTCTTTATCGTTCACGTCTTTCTTCTAATTCATCCACTTTTTACAATTGGGGGCACCACATAGGCAGGCTATCTTGTGCTGGTCATCCTCAAAATCGAACTTGTAGTCGTAAGAGAGCTCTTCGCCACGGGCAATTCGCCGTTTAGCTATAATCAGAATCTTCTGATCCTTGTCTACGTCCACCACCTCAGTGACACAGTTTGGATTGCAGCTGTGATTCACATATCTGCAGAAAGACAAGATTAAATAACACTCAAAATTAGTCTATTAGTTATTAATATTTGCTTAATCGTATGAAAAAAAAAAATTGAAATAATCAGGCGTACAGTAGGGTCCTTTCAGACTTGCTATTACAAGTCAATGCATCAAGGGCCGGACAACGCAAGTGATCAGATGCACGCAAGTCATTGGTACATAAACGGATGAATTAAGCTGGTTTTACAGTTAACTATAATAATTAATCTAATACATGCTAACCTTTTTCCACCACTTTAAAAGTGCTTACGCGAAATTAGCCAACAAATTACTTTATATGCATTACTTCCTATCCCAACTGTATCCTAGTAGCCAAGAAAAACCAGTGCTCTTAATAACACTCAGCAACTTTATCTGAACAATCAAACTTTTTGGCCCACCTTTAAACAAAGGAAGTTATGATACAACTTGGTAGCTATATGATGTGTATAGTGGAAAATTTTATTGCTGAGAGTATAACATAAAAGTATATGTCGTAAAAAATGGAAAAAAAAATAGCATCTTAAATCTAAACGATACACTTCGCTTAATTTTTCGAGTTCAACGAAAACCATTTTGCGCCAAATTTAACGACTGATGATTGTTAGACGAAGCTCTTTCCGTCTACGGATTTTCTATCCGGAGAATTACTGTTCTGAATTACTGCTTCTTAATTTTAGCAGAAAATTTTCTTCTCCAATTATTCATTCTTGGAGCACACATTTAAACTAAGCTCTTGATATCATACAAATAATACCACACGCTTGTAACCCAATTAAGAACGTTTTAACATATATTACATCTATTCACAAAAAAATGGAAAAAGGAAAGCAATCCATAAGGACGGCGAGAACTTATCGAACAACTATAGTAAATGTTTTTAACATCCTACTGTGACAGTTCTTCTTTTACCTCGCTAGGCCGCCCGTAAGGGTAGCATCAATAACCCGATTTTCGTCGAGTCGGAACATGTAAATTCCTCGATTCTGAGACTCGTACTGCTTTTCGCGGGCGTTGGCCACTTCGTTTCGGATCACCTGTCCAATGTACTCTATTACCATCGTGTGCTTTTCAATGTCACGGGCGGCATATAGACCCAAACCCTGGATCTTGCTTCGAGCTAGGAAAACGTTACTTCGCCACTCTGTCTTCATTCGCCTGTATTGACTGGCCTTGGAATGGACGAACTGCTTGGAGTACGGCGAGCCCATCTCAGGTGACGGCGAAAGGCCCTGTCCGCCGGGCGAATCGGAGCACAACAGTAACGAATGCTGTATTGCGAGTGACGCGGGTGTCCCCACCGAGGCCGAGAGCGCCGAAGCCGCGGAACTTCCGCCGCCTCCTGCGCCAGCCCAGCCCCCAGCAGCACCCACTGCGTTACTCGAATGCAGCAACGCATGCGATCTACATTGAGAATAACAGTAAGAACACGACAAGCAAATATGCACGAAAAAATATTGCATTGTTATTTGTATCTCTTTAGCCATATTGAAATCTATCAACAGTAGCTACTATACAAAGATCAGCTAGTGCACTATCACTAAGTTTTCTCTTTACAATACGTTCACTGTCCATTGTACTGCAAATATTTTTTTAATAACTTCCGATGGATTTTACCGTTTGAAGTGGGTCCTGAGCTTGGGTTCCGACCGGGCACAACCACTTGGATTGACAGCTAACGGCAAATCGATTGAAGGACCGTAGCGAAACGTATAGTCAAGCAACGTATCTACACCCGGAATTGACTCAATCAATCGAAGAAGAAGCGGTTCCGTTAGCCCGAACAGGTCGTGACCCGTCACGTATTTGGAGAACACTTTGATAGCCTTGTCCTCCAGTCGCATTTTTTCTATGGGTTCCAACACCTAAAAGCCACAACGGAAATAGAGATACGACATCCTGTTCCTACGCTATAGAGCAAAGCGCTTTGCATGAAAATGCTTCTATTCACCACGAACTTGAATACATGAAATAGTTCAAACCTGTAGACTATGCCAAGCGTTATACGTCTGCATCTGTCGTAGAGCACCTACGACGAGATCTTAGAAAAATAATTTTCCCAGTTTTTGTGTTGAAAATCTTATCCCCAATTGTTTTGTACTTCTGCATATCAGGATGGGTGAACAAACAAAAGCGCCGTATACAATTGTGCGAAAATCTTATTTACTAACAATTTATCACTTTATCGAGCTAAAGTAACCGTAAATGAGTCAAACGTGGGCAATGTTTGGTTCCAGGGGGCGGTACCATCTGTCATTGCGTATTCGAAACCCTGCGATTATTAAAGCGGAAGTTGGGTAAACCCCATTTGTCTCGGAGAGTTCGTACCACTCCTGAGCTACCCCATTTATGCAACTTTATGCGATCGTTAGATTTTTCTTATCCGTTTTTTAAAAGCGCAATCTATAAGTTTAGATCTTCTACAATTAGGAAGTTATATGTGTGCCCCAGGAAGAAATTTTGACGTTTATGCCGGATTTGTAAGAGGTTATCGAAAATTTTGGTTTTCATTTCAGTCTTACGGAGGAATTTCAAGGCAATCGTCTGGACAACAATACATGTAAAAATCACGGTAAGATTGTCATGTTTTTAACGTGATGTTGATATTGTGTTTTTTATGAGCTAATGTAATGTATCACAATTTGCGATTGACTATCTGCAATCGATGACCATATATATATATATGTTTCGTGTACGAGATGTAAACATCGATACACCAGAGTGTGCTGATTCCAAGAACGTACCTTCATCCAGCACTCCTTAGGAGTACTGCCCTCGATGGCCTTTTGATCGCTTTTGCCCATGGGTGTAATAGTGAACTTCGGCTTACCCTCATGTTCACTAATGACACATTCATACAGTTGACGTTGGCCAAGTCGTTGCATGTGCCAATAGAAGCGCAGCACACGAAATCCGCAAGGGTAGATAGCATTTGGGCAGTGAAAATTTTGCAGCTGTTGCGGTAATAGTTGGCCAAGAGCCTGGAATACCAGGCTACCCACACGGATGTAATAATTCTCGCCACGATGAACAGAAGCAGCAACCTTCAAACCAGACCGAAATGGGATGACGGAGGGTAAGAACACTGACGTGCATATCTAGAATTGAATATTTTCACAGCGGCCTTTTCTTTTCTTCCCCACCAAACTATAATGCTTGTCTTACTAGGGCTTCTAGCGGTGGCTAATAATAATCCTCTTAGTTTTCATCTTGTAGCTACTTGCCTGTTTGACTTCGTCTCGCGAGATATAGACCCGCCGGAGCACGGAAGCGGACGGTAGAAGTAGATCGGGCTGAGGAGACTTGGGCTGATGAGCGGGGCACAACATGGTCTTGTCCTTGAAAAACATGCACGAGTGGCGGCGTGCGCAGCCAAAATGAAACGTCTGCATACATCTCATCTTGAAGCAGCGCACGCTAGCCCCTACGAGGTTGCAACGTGCACAGCGCACACGCTTTGCCCGACGGCAAGCCTCTTCGACATTCATCAGTGACCCGTTCACCGTCTCATAAACTTCGGACGACCAAAGCGCGCAGTTGAGATGCACCCATTGGTCCGTGTCCAAGTTGAGCAGTCTGCCCGGACCTTCGCTCGCGCCGTCACCGACTGCCAAGCACAGTAGGCACGCACGGGCATCCGTCACGCCCGCTAACCGAATACCTATTGGAGATGCATCTAGCCGAGCGTTTGCCTCCTCTACAACTGTAATTGTTGCGATTAAAGGAAATCAAATTGAAATCCTATTAATAACTAATACAACACTATTTGTCATGAATAGTATATCAACCCCAATACCAGAGATCAAAATCAGACAGTAATGATCTTAATGGTTGGACAACAAAAAAGTCTTCTCTGCTTAACCTAGCACTCAATATCGATAGATATTTTTAGATAAGTTACCGGCGACGTAAGGTAGTAAATTCGCATTAAACCAAAATATCCTACAAAGAACGCTACAACAAATTTTGGCACACAGAACAACCACATTGAACATATTTCTTAGATTTCACGGATTGGTGCCGCCAGAAGATCCCGTGATAAGTAGCCTGACGTCCAGAATTCCAAGTTTCGGCAAACCGACAGAATTTTGAGAAATGGTACGATCGCCACGAAAATATCATAAATCAGGAAGGAAGAACGCTTAAAGAACAAGATGAAGCCAGAATTATCGCGCAGAAGTGAAATCTCACCAAAATTACTTTAGCAGAAAGTTGGACACGATAAAAATCTCTCTGGAAACTATCTGTCTTTTATTTGCCGAAGAAACAACTGCATTAAATGCGTTTGAAATGACGACCTGTCATGGACCTTTGTCAATTATGCATACAGAGTTAATCGTCTATATTCGTTCGTTGTACTTGATCATATTTCTCCTGATGCTTTGTTTAAATTCGAGGGTTGAAGAAATCAAAATATAATGATAATAAATCAGTAGCTTTTAACTAAGTAGATGAAATGGTTAGTTGTACGATAAAAAATGCATGCTCACATTAAGCAGTTTATGCAACTGAAACATTTTGAACCAGATAAACGACAAGGGCATTAGCAAAGCATCAAGATACAATGAGCATAATGGTTGTTGAGAATGACGTTTGCCAGCACGCGTGAGATGTGGAAGCAGTCATAAGCAGCAAGACAGCAGCTATAAACATAATCATTTTGCCTCTTTGCAATAACAAAGGTCATACGTAAGGTCGTTTTTTGGAAAATGAATAACCAAACACCCAGAAAATCACATACGAATAATCGACTACGTTCCATAAATAGAGTAGATCATGATGAACTTAGGATGACTATGTAGGCAAGACTCAAATTTGCACCATTCAACGATTTACACAGATATATCAGGCTGTCAAAATCAAAGACTAGCAAGGCACAGTGTCCAAGGCAAAATACAGAACCAAGCGTTACTATTATTGACTTGCGCACATGAAAGACATTGATAGACTAAAATAACCCCCAGTTTTTTTATTCTGCATTTAAAGATGCCGACATGGGACAGTTAAATTGGCCAGGCCGTTTTAAAACAGAGGCAGAGTTGAATGCAGAAAAGATTCGGGACAATTGCTATGTCATCGACCACAATCAATGTATGATGAGAGTCCCAAAAGTTCGAAATAAATTAACTTCTGAAATTGACATTTGGCATCCACATTAAGAACGAGTTTATTTCTAAACGAATTATTAAGAAACGTCGTGGAATTGTAGTGACAAACCGAAGCACATCTGTCTATCTCTAACCCAAATACTGATTTGGTATTCTTGAAGATAAAACCTGTTTCTTACAATATTTCGAATAAGTTGGACAGAACATTTTAACGGCTTGTAGCTCGCGCTGTCCTGACTGATGCCTCTTACCGAGATGTGGCCTTAATTGTAATAATTCAAAAAAGAATAGTGACGTAAGCCTGTGTGCTGATCCTTCTAGCCGTCTGCATACCAATCACGAAACCTATTACTCCGCTCTCCGATCACCATGTATATTTATGAAACTGGATAAAATTCCTCTACCACTAAGTTAGCTAAAGCATACCGATAACTTGAAATAATGGATAAATCAATAGGGCTGCCAATTATTAACAATCCGAGAAAACTTTTAAATGACATATTATAGGCTTCCCTTTGTAAAGGTAACACAAACAATTATTCAGGCAAAAACTGATATACTAATAACAGCGATTCCATCATAACGGGGCAACATCGTTGACTACGGTTCTACAACAAAACAAGGCTGTATAGATCCTACGAAATTTTCCGACAGATTGACCAATCCGGACTAAAAGTAAAATTGGAAAAGAGACACTATCTTAAGACCGAGGTCAAAGTTAGAGGATTTTTTTAGCCGAACTCAAAAAATAAAACCAGGTCTCGATAAAACTAAAGCAATTTTGTAGATGCTAGCTTTTTCGAATGTCTTTGAATTACGATCTCTGTTGCTTAGAATTTATTGATACACTAAGAGACTTATAAGGCCCACTGGACAAACTATTATGAAGCGATATCGATTCGCAAAGGTAACTAATAAATAATGGCTAGAATCTACACAGGTATCTGAACGGAAGCATATCGATTTTGGGAGGCCGGTAGATAGTGAAATGTATTCAATTATTGTAGATACCCACTTCCGAGGGGCTGAAGTATATATTATGCAATCAGCAATTAGTTAAAATACAGTAAATGCGCTACATAATATATTTCCTCGCTGCATATAACTTTTTAGGATTGTTTCAAACGCTCATTTAGAATTGCCTCGGACAATGGCCGTCAATTCATACCATATCAATTTGCCGGTTTTGTAAAATCGATTGAAGCACAACATTGCGCAGTTCCAACAACTGAGCCAAACAGTTTATCAATACATCCAAGTGAAGATATCGCAAATTGAGACAGATACGTAGCCCAATGAGTTCTAGAGATGTTACTATATGTACTACATATCCTCTCCTAAAGTATGATAAATCACACATAACTAATAAATCGCCTGCTATTTTTAATAAGAAAAATTTGCGCTTAGATGGATCTAACTACCGCAAAATATGAAAAAGCAAGCACAACAGGTTTCGCCTGTATAACACAATAACTGGACAACGTAGCATCATTTTGAAAACGTTTGCTTGAATGGGATGCAAGGCTAAAGCAAATGAGTAGAAACAGATTCTGCTTCCAATGCACAGATGCGAAAAAGCGATTTGTTGAACGAACGTTTATAGGCACCTAAAAATACTCCACCTGAACCATGATCGGCCCACCTCGCTCTTCGACGGTATACTAAGATCAGGATAGAGACTTGGTAGTGACATAGACTGGAAAACACTATGCAGCTACACGAAGGCATTTCTTCTAACCAAAACGGAAGATATCATAAATGCTACATAAACCCCCATATTTGAGATGAAGATCAGAGAGTAATCGTCTGAAATAACGATGACTCTTTTCTGCCTATCTTAATATTCGATACCAGTGGATACCTTCAAACATATCATACATCAATCGACATTGCTTTAAAATGGGGCTGTTCTTACCAAGGGTATTATTCTTTTTGCTTAAAAGCTTTTGACGTGTCCCCGGCTCCCACACCATCCATTTCGTGCCCTTGGCGCTCTTCCTGTTAGGGTCAGGCCGATGCGCGAGGAAAGGCTTCCTGAGTTGCACCGGTTTTACTGGTGTTTGCTCGCTGACACGTTTTACAAGTTCACCAAGAACCTCCTGAAATCGAAGGTATCAGAAAGTACATAAAAGTACGGATATCAGTCGTTCGTATTCTTTTGATTACAGGAGCTCACCACATGTCCTCATGGATCCGATTTATACAATGTATTATTAAAGAGTCTTAGATTTTACCGCTTCACGTTGTGCTAACCTTGACTACGCTGAGTGTATCCGGAACATCGCACAACAGATGAACTAGCGCAGCCTGTGAGTAGCAGGCTTCTCCACAAAAGAACACCTCTTCAGATGGCCCCTTTGGTTCAGGTGCTGATGTTGATGTTTCATCGTTAGTTTCAGTCTGTTTACGTTTTCCTTCGCGCATCAAAAGCTTTGCAAGCCCTCGTTTTGGAAGAACAGCACAGCCACAGTGTTTACAAGACCTCTTCCTTCCATCTGCCCAAAGGTACTCGACCTCGTCCGGTTTTCGTTCGGATGATGGTACCTCCAAACGTTCAATAATCTCGTAAAGAAGCTCACCATTCGCATCTGCGAACGGTTCTTTTGCTTCGAGCTCGAGTATCTTCGACAAGGAACTGAGGACGGACTTGACGTCGCGTGACGAACGCAACGTCAGCGTCACTAACAACAATCCATTAGTCGCTGAAATTCAATCACAGGTTAGACTGCGTTTAAAAAAGATGACACTTTCTTCATCACTGCAAAAAATAACAAAGAGAGTGTCCTACGCTTATAATAAAAACAATTTCGGCTCAAAGTAAGCTAGGGTAAAACAAATATAGAATAACATTTCCGCTGTGAACAAATTACGCCCATTGAGTTCGATACCATACATACATTAGTATTGCTCAATAATATAAATACATATTTTTTGCTAATAGACTATGGTTAGCATTTATAAATCATATTAAGTACTGGTATCTATAGGCTCAATCGCTACTGCAGAGTGACGATTGGTCTTTCGATAGTTGCACCATATCTCTCTTTGATTCATAGCAGTAAGAAGAGGGTATCTTACCTGAGTTCACCGACGATTTATGGTCAAGCTCGTTTATAAGCTGATGCCCATCATAGCTTGGTCGCATGGGTACGGGAGCATACAGTGGCAAAGCAGGCGAAGGGGCTCGTTCTTTCTCGCTGCATTTTAAACTTGCTGGCATAAGGTTTGAATTATAGTCAGAAGAGCCTTTGAGTTGTCTTGAGCCAGCCGGTGTCTCCCGAGAGATCAATCTCAACCCCTTCATTTCTAACAACTTTTCTCTGACATCGCTCTCCGGACTCGAGCAGTAGCAGACAGTCTCGGGACTGTAGACGTAAGAGAAACATGTGACACATTTCGGTTAGAGTGATTTCCTGTTGTGTTACTAAAATCCCATAGTCATCATTTGGTTTCTAGAATGTCGACATGTTAGTTGCATGATAGCATTTTCATAAAAATATCACACACTGTTTCTTTGCGTACATTTGTATCATGCGAGACAATATACGGCTAGTGGCATCACCTTTATGTTAAATGCTCAAACAAAGATACTCACGGCAAGCACCTTTTGAAAACAATAGACGAGTTAAGGAGTAAACGAATCTCACCTAAATGCACGGTCGCTGTTTGAGCTGAGGCGATGGGAAAATTCCTGATTGTAAAAACCACGACTATTTAATACCAGTCGGTTCCGGCGCGCTCGGCTGCTTCTCGTGCTGGTACCCAGATGTTTGTAGAAATCGCCGCCATATTTGCTAGCCTTCTTCAGTTCGCCACTACCAAACGATCCCGCTAGTTGTGGCTGAATGGGGGTTCCCCTGTCCCTTCCAAATATGGGACACGCGCTGTAGTTGGCGTGTATTGAAGGCTCGACAATTCGGACGGCTGGCAACGACCGCATTTTGGCACTGACGGGGGCTCCAAGTTCTAAACCTGCTAAAGAGCCTGATGTGGGTTCACCCAATGAGGTAGGTTCTGACGCTAGAGCTAGTCCGGGGCCCTCTTCTCCGCGAATCCCGCCAGGTGTTCCTGATCCTGCAGATTTTTTGGCGCGTTTTTTTGTTGGTGACGTTGATGCTCCCGCACTACCGACGCTTCCATGTGCACCACCTGTTGCCGATATTAGACCTGGTAAAAAAAAACAGTATGGAACAAAAAACGACAAAAAAAAGTTAAAGGATCTTTCATTGCTTGAACACAGTTTACATAACGAACGTAATTTTCTAGAAATAATACACTGAACATCGTTATATATAGCTGGAATGTTGTATGACGCGCAAAACAAAAAACGACTAAAAGTAATATCTCCGAAATAGATAATAGAAATAGAATAAAGAGGAAAACTATCCATATTTACATGTAAATTAAAGACTATTTGGGTGGATACATTAAGAACATTTTTACTTACGGCGGCCTGTGAATTGTGTTGAAAACAGACTTTATTTTCTTTTATTCATTAGTTGAAATCAAAATCCTTCCCATCGATATTGATGTTGATATATATCATAATGGTTTTAAGATTCAATTCTGTCTTTTAAATTTCGTGAAAGTGAAACATTTCGATCTTTGTAGAGTTTGAACTGTATTTCCTCCTGATGGTACCTTTACTGACATACCTCAACCAAGTGCAAAATCTTTGCATCTGTCTATTTCTATAACATAATCTTAGAGTGTCGTTGCTAGTTTTAAAGGTCTCTGTTGACTTACCACTAGCAGATTGTTGCTTGTGAGGTCGTTTGCGTGGATTTTGTTGTTGAGTTTGACCCTGCGGTTGTCCTGAAAGCATTCCACTGCTAGATGTATCCTGACTGTTATTTTGTGTAGGCTTTCCAGGTGGTATTTGGCTTGACGGAGGCCCAAAAGGAGATCCACGAGGTGGACCGCCCATAGGTGACATCGGTGTGCGTTGCAACTGAGGACTGGCTGTTGTAGTTAACGGCTGATGATTTGGATGCTGCATTGGAGGACCCATTGGCCCCGGAGAGAAATGTCCGCTACCCGCAGTTGGGGAGGTCAACTCGCTTTTCACGTACATGCTACCGGTTCCAAGTGGAGTTGGAGGCCCGCTCTGGGGACTCTGAAGGTTTCCTCCGGTCTGATTGTGCATAGAAGGTCCATCAAACGGACTAAGGCTTCCAGGAAGACAAGCGACAACCTGCAATGCCCATTATACGAAGGATGCAGTGATTAGTAGCATTCGGTAGTTGTCAATGCTGTATTTCCAAGTAACGCTCTTTGCATATTTTACAAAAAAGGCACCATGACAACAACTCTACTTACCCTGTTCGGTGGTGCCGGAGGTTGTTGCGTTTGCGACGACGTCGTCATCGTGGACGGGGTTCCCTGGGTCGTGGCGCCGAGTGGTCCGGAAAGCTGCATGCCTACCGTTGTTATTGGTGGTGAAGGGGTCATGGCATGGTGCTGATGAGACGGTCCACCGCTGGTTTGCTGATCTAGCTGGTGAGAAAGTTGCTGCTGCTGTTGTTGTTGTTGCTGTTGTTGTTGCTGATGTATGGGTTTTAAGCTATCGCAGGAAGCTGCTGAAGTGACCGGAGATATCTGATTGCTCATCGGGGAACCGCCTATCTGCGGCGATTGTCGGAGGGGACCACCTTGCTGGTGTTGTTGAAGACTATTCTGAAGGAGACTGCCACCAAGCGCTGGCACCCCAGAATGACTGGCTGTATAAGCGATTGGGGTTCCTCCAAGTGTCCCGACATGAGGCCCGACTGGGGCGGTCGCTGTTGAAGGGAGCGATTGGGCTACAATTGGGGTAGGTTGAGGTGACGGCGCACCAATCTGATGAGAAGGCACTGGCGGTAGTGGCACTGAAGGAGGAACTCGGTCACTCGATGAATTATTAAGCAGAAGATTACCACTGCTGGTGCTGCTATTCATCGCATTGCTTCCATTGTTGCCTCCGCCTCCAACAGCCGCAGCTGAGGCTGGCTGAGGTGCGGCTGATACGATAGGAAGCGCGGGCAGTTGCTGCGGTGCAGACAGACGTGCACCTGGACTGGCACCTGATGCTGGCAACGACAAAATTGGCCCTGGAGGAACCGACGACGGCATCGTCGCTGTTATTGCTATTGGGGTTGTTATTGGAGCAGCTGGTGTTGCCACTGGTGTCGCTGCTGCTACTACTGCAGTTGCTGTTGCAGGACTAACGACTGGTGCTGTTGTTTCTAATGGTGGTATTAATGTTGTTGTGGTCGTCGTTGTTGCTAATGCTGATGTTGTTGGGGGCGTTTTAGATGGCGCTGGAGGCGATGTTGTCCTTTTCGTTGCTGGCATCATGAATGAAGGAACTGAGAGCCAATACAAGGCAGCAGTTAAACGCAACACTATAGAACTATATATAGTAATAGTTATAATGCTTTTTCACGATCTTATAAAACGGCTAGTGATCAATTGAATAAATAAAGTAAGAGAGCATAATGATTCGATAACAACTCTCAGTTGCTGACGATGCTAGCTAGTTTACCTGCAGTTTTAGACGCAGCTTGCTGCGAGCTGTGTGGACTCATAGCAGGAATAATAGGGGTAGACGAAGGAACTGAATTCGCTGAACCGGAAGAAGCTGTGGCAGTGCCTGTTGCACAGCCACTACCATTGTTACTGCTTCCACTATTATTAACGATACCAGTACTACTGCCCATACTCATACTGATGCTGCCGCTGCTATTGTTGTTGTTAACAATAGCATGGTTGTTATTGTTAACCAACTGTGAGGTGATAAGCGTTGGTTGTTCCTTGACCACCAGGACCGGTGAACCTCCGTTTCCCGTGAGAGCTGAAATGGACGAAAAGACAAAAGCTGAGCATGAAACAGTTACGGTTCTCCGTCATTTCTACTAATAAAATGCAGCCATTAAAAAGACAGATACAGATATTGTTAATCTAGGGATCGCAAATGTAATAGCGTTAGAACATTAGAAATGAAAACATATGAACTTATGGCCAGAAAAGGGACATAGAGGCGTTTTAAATCAGCCGCTGAAAGAAACTAAGAATTCTTAACATTCATTCAGAAATTCCTTTTGTGTAGTTCGATTCTTAGGCACAAATATGTGAAAAATTACGTAAAAGATACATAATAATGAAACTGGAAAACAAATACGTATCTAATAAACATCTGTGTACGTCTTCACTATACGTACTTGTTGTGGCGCTGGGTGAGGTCCCCGACTCCGCTGACGGACAGTTTTGCAGCAGCTGCTTTAAAAGAACGTTTTGTTTAGGTGGAACTGAAGAAATAGAAGAAGAGGAGGCACTAGCAGAAACAGCAGCTGCAGCTGTAGCAACACTATTGGTAGCGACAGTGGCGGCGACGGGGGCACTGGGGGTCGTAACGCTAGGACCGGCGCCGGCACTAGCGGGAGCAGCGGCAGCGGGACTCGGGTTCGGGTTCGGCATTGGCAATGACAGAGACAGTGACGGCAACAACGAGCCTTGGGAGGGGTGTATTGGAGGCAGAGGTTGCGGTACAGTAGCAGGACTAGTTGCTGTTGCTGTTGGGGTTACAGCAGGTGGCGGTGACGGCGTCGGTAGAATTCCAGGAGTTGTCGCCGTTGAAAAAGTCACTGGGATGACAGCAGCCTTCGGGAGAACAACAATAGAACCTGTAGCACTGGCAACGCCACCTGCTGAAGTTGTTGTCGCAACAGTAATTCGCTGCTGTAGTACACCTACTGGTTGATCCCCAACTTGCATCGGCCGATTTGGGATTTTCTGCTGCTGAGGCAGAACAGCAGTGTTCGACTGTGACTGCAGCTTTTGTTGCTGCGCGGGAACTGAGCTGTTGTTGTTACATTGCTGCTCGGTCGAAGTCCTGCTGCCAGCCTTTGCCCAGGTCGCCGTCACGGCAGGAGCTGCAACAGCTGATGGAACAGTGATCACTTTTTGTACCACAATAGTTGTTCCGGTTGACGCAGCTGATACAGCTGTTGTCGTTGGTGATGGTTTCGATGCGGCTGTTGTTGACGCTGGTGCAGGCGTCTCTGTTGTTGATAGGCCGATAGGCGGGATTAGAGGGCCAGCGGGTAGTTTGGGCAGATTGGGTGGTGTTTGTTGCTGTTGTTGTAAATGTTTTGTCGATGTCAATGTTACTGAAGGCAACGGTGACGGTGGAGTTCGACGTGGACTAATGATTGCTACCGGAGGTGAGGCTGTCGTCGTTGTAGCTGCAATTTGTTGCGACGGCTGGGGTTTTGGCAGGCGGGACACTGTTGTGGCTGTTACTATTGTTGTTGTTGTTGTAGAAAGTGCTGTTGATTGTGTGGGTATTGGTGTCGGGGACACAGAGGAAAGCGGAGCAATGCCTGCGCCGACGGCCCCGGCAAGCAGCACGCCAGGGGAAGTCCCCGCACAATGCGGCTAAAGGAAAGCGACACAATCATAAGAGAGTCAAACAAACATACGCCACACATCGAATAGAATAGGGTGCAGGTCAGGACACAGAGATAGAAAAGACTCAAAGTAGTAAGCATATTGGGTTTTTAAATTGATTTCAACAAGCATTGTATCGCAGGCAACAATTCATACTGAATTGTTTGTCCCACCCCAGTTCACATGAGAACAGCAGCTGTCCCGAGGTCATACAAAAAGCAGTCGCGCGTAGTAGTTGTGGAACGTTCGCGCGAAATGTGAAGGTGGCAAACGCAATTAATTACATTCAATATCGCTGTTTTTGAGCACTAAGCAAGCGCACGTCAGCAACTTTTCTACACATGTACGACAAGTGAACAAAATAAGCAGTCTCGATAGGCATCTCTTTTTTTGCATCAGTTTTTCGTAAAACGAAAAGCAAAAACAACATTTGAGCTGTGACGTTTTCTTAAAATTGAGCAGTCTATGATAATTGACCTTTTTACTGCTATTTTCATTTTGAAAGGTTGCATTGATATTGATGTTCCAGCAGAAGTAGGAAACATATAAGCGCAAGTTGTATAACTTTAGCAAACATAGAAGTACGGTGGAGTTCGGTTCATTTAAACGAGTAGAAAGATGCATAGAGGCAGCCTGGATCGAATTACTACACTTGACCGAAGATAAGATGTTCACATGAAAGTAGATATTGTTAGACATTGATCCATAAAGCAAAGCTTTGACCTTGCACCAATTACGAGCTCTTTTTAACTTGCAGGATTAGACACATTCAGCAAATGGGACATAGGCACATCCTATCAAACGAATTGTGAAATGAGAAACGTTCTCTTACCTGTTCTTCAAACGTGCCCGATGACGCGCGCTTTACTGCCTGAACTTCCTCAACGTCGTTCTCCAGTGAGGGTTGCTGTAACTGCTCATTTTGCTGCTGCAGCGGCTTCTTTTCTGCTTCTGTTTGAACGATTTCTGTGGCAAGTATAGTCGTTGGCTCCGCAATATCAGTCGTATTTGTTTTTCCGAGCTTCAATGTGAGACTTAGAGAACTTTCTGACGAACGGTCACCGTTGGCCTCACTAAATGTTGCTGAAGCAACAGAAAGTGGTGGATTTTTTCCCGATGGGGACGCAGCCACTACTACAACTACTCCTGGCGTGCTCACACGTTCGCTCGTCTCGAGGTCCTCTTCCATTGGTTCTCCGCACGAATCTTGCACAACCCCAGTGACGTTTTGGTTTTGGTCGGCAACGACGAATAGTGAAGCAGTTGTCTCTTGGGTGGCCTGAGACGGACATACTACCGGTGACGGTTGCACTTCACCAACGGTTGTGCTCCCCACCGAACTACCGTTGATAGTCTGCGTTGGAGGCGAAGCTGATGGTGAAGATAGGCTCGTAGTACTTGCTGACATGTTAATACTGCCGCCGCTGCTGCTGCTGCTACTGCTGCTGCTGCTGCTGCTACTGTGGTTATTATCGGCGTTGCTATTCGTGTTGCTGCTGCTGCTGCCGCTACTGCTTCTGCTGATAACGTTGCTGTTGCAGCTGCTGCTGTCGTTGAGTAAAACAACTCCACTTTGATGGTCTCTTGATTCGACAAGAGACGATGATGGATGCTCATGTATGCGTGTGACCTCAGCATCGACATCTGCCGTTTCCGATTCATCCGCTGTCGGCGGTAATGATGGCGTATTAAAATAGTTGTGATCATCAACAGCCACATCAGCCGCTGCTATGAGTGTTGTTTCTGGTTCACCCTGAACCGGTTGATCCAACTGATCTTGGTCCTGTTGGCCTTGTTGTTGCTGTTCTTGTTCCTGGTCCTGATCTGGTTGATCTGGCTGGCTTTCCGCCTGCTCGGCTGGTTCGCCTTGCGATCCGGCATGCTCGGCCGGCTGATCCTCTGGCTCTTGTTCGGGTTCCACAACCTGATCTTCTACTACCTGATCCACCTGATCAACGATTTGATCAGCCTGTTCAGACGCCGTTTCCGACGTCTGTTCCGGCTGTTCCGACGTCTGTTCTTGATCGGATACTCCGCCCGGCTGCGACACCAACGCCGAGTTGGGACTATTGTTGTCGTCGTCGAACTGTACCACGAACACGCTGGCCGACACGTCGACGTCGTCTACGTTGTCCACGCCGCCCGGTTCAGCAACGTCGCCATCAACATTGAACGACGATCCGCCGAAATCGCCGGATGATGACGAGGACGTGTTTGCCGCTGACGTGGTCTGCGTGCCGTTGGCGCCCGGCAACGAATCGGGATTGCCACCCAATAAACGGCCGAATGGCCAAACACTGGCTATGACTCTCCTTGTTATTCGGCTGCTGCCATTAGCGACAGCGTAATGATGGCCATTACCATCATCGGCCCGGCCGCCGGGCGTACTTAGTTGGCGATTCAGTCCGACCGCGAATACCTTTGACCGAAACATTGCTGCAGATGGCGACGATATCACTTCTGGTTGTCTGACGCTGACTGTCCGGTCAGAGGTAGTTGTGTGTACCACCTGTTTGTCCTGTTTGTCTGACACCATTGACGCCATGTTCATGTTGGTCCACATCACCTGTCCCAAGTAGTCCAACAACTCGGCGAGGTCTTCGCGGGCTCCGATAGCAGACGCGTCATCGTCTACACTCCAAAGCCGCTCAAGTAGCAGAGGTTTTTCGGCCACCGTTGCCGCCTCAGCAACCATGGCGTCAGCTCGAGCGGGCGTCCACCAACGCGATCCTCCTTTTAAGCTACCACTACCACCGCCGCCCGGTTTGTTCATGCCGACCGCGTACACGTTTGGCCGACTGGCATTCGGTGGCATCGGGCTTGACTTGGGGGACGGCGCCGATCGCGCCGGCGATGGCGCTGGACTGTGCATGGCCGCCGGCTGCCCGGGCGAAGGAGACGGCGCTGGGGAGGGCGCATGATGGGGCGAGAACGGCGGCGCAGCTGGTGACTGAACCTGATACACACACATACAGACATAGAGAGTCACCACAAACAATAACAACATCGCTACAGAAGATCTTCAAAGGTACTAACAATATTATTATTATTATCATGGGAAAACAACTTCAGCTGCACTAACGTTTTTTAACTTAATTAGTAAAACATGGGACCACTGAGAACACAAGAAACTTGCTGTCCGATCTAAATCAGTTTCACTGGCCTGCAAGCTCATAACTTGGTCTAACTGAGGTCACTGGCGGCTATCAAACTAACCTGGTAAGGAGACATTCCCGGAAAATGCGGGGGTGTCCTTTGCGCCGGGCTAGGACCCGGACTCCGACGTAGATAAAGAAGTAGCGCGGGATTAGAGTTAGAATTACTGTTGGGGTTGCCCGGATCGGGCGTGTTGGGCGTGTGGCCCCCTGGTGAGAAAACTTGACCAACACTTGCGGGTCCCCCAACAGGGGACGGCGAAAATACTTGCGGGGGACCTAAATAAAAAGAAACATTAGTTACGATTTGCGTTTGCCTTCCCAGCTCATGCCCACGGAACAGATTTTCGACTGGGGTTGGCATTCTAAGCTATAACTGGAATGCTAATTGATCTATCTAAACAGATAGATTTCTGCAGCTTCGTGGATGTACATGTTCATTCGAACTTAACTGACCTTGTGGCGTAGCAGGTGAGTAACATTGTTGGGGTGTGGTTGAGCCGGTGGCTGAATGTCGGGGCGAGTACTGCTGTGGATTGTTCGGATTGGCCTGGTTCGAATTCGTCTGTTGTAGGCCCATGCTCATCGTCCCGGTTAGGGAATCATGCGAAGGAGACTCGGGCGTACCACCTTGCCGGAAGAGCTCTGGGCCGGCAGCCGAGGGAGGGTTCGCCGGTAGGCCGCCGGGGCTAGCCTGTGCCTGGGGCGAGCCCATTGGGCCGAGCGATGTATGATGACCTGACGGGGCCATTGTAGCGCTTGGTTGCATTCCGCCTGGTTGTTGCATTGCACTAGCCATCGGCTTTACCGAGGGATATGGCGGTGGTGGCCGCATCATTTGCTGCGGAGGAGGTCCACTTATAGGGACCCCCGGTGGAGGTCCACTGGAGTTGTTATGTACATTAGGCAGCTGTGGACCAACAGGTGCCGGCGGGTATCTTAACGGCGTCTGTTGTTGTGGAGCGTGTGGGTTTGGTGGTCCTGGTACAGGTGGCCCCGGCATTGGCTGTTGATAATAGTTAGGCTGCGGGGACATCAGACCCCGCGATGGACCTGATGGACCTCCTGGATGTGGCCCCGTAGGCGGAGTCTGTTCACCTATCGGCGTGTATCCCCCCTCAAACGGACCCGGAGACTGGCCGGGAGCTGGCGCGGGCTGCTGATTCTTCACGCGATACTCCTGAATAACGCTCGTGTGCTGCCTATGAAGCTTCCTCACTTGCTCGAGGAACTTCTGCAGACCCGGCATTTCCCGGTTCACGTATGCCAGCTGGCTGGAGTCGCTGTCGTTCAGCTCCTGTCCGCTGCCTGCCCTGGCCAGCTGTCTCTGCTTAGCTGTCAACGCCTTCTTGATCTTTCGCAGTTTGCCCATTTCCGTTTCGAGGTACTTCTTTTGACTTGATAGTAGTTCATCTTGTTTTTGCATCCACAACTCGTAGCTATACTTCACGTCAGCTGACGTAGGACCTGTATTGTTCTCGCCAGGTGCTGGCGGCGCTTGTAACGTTCGCAGCTTGAACTGCTGCGCGATTGTGGTCGATGCCGGAGAAGGCTGACTTTGCGTCATCTGTGCCAGCGCCTGCGTAGGCGCCAGACCTGCAGGAGGGGCCACAGGCCGTAACGGACTGGCAACTCCACCAGCAGCCGGTATCATCGGGATACCGGGACTGGCGAGGCGCCCCATCACCCCACCAGAAGGTGCATTCTGTATTGATGAACGTACCTGGTTGAGTGACACCGCAAATACACACTCACATTAGAATATCTTGCATAGCAGTACAAACAAGCAAAATCTTTTTTGTATTGTAAAGTAATTGAATCGGTTTTGATAGGAAGAACAGTAATAATAGTAATTCTGCACATGGTAGAAACCCACGACTGTGATCATCTGTGAATCATCTGCGAAGCAATTTCTGTAGTCGAAAAGTATTAAATGCAATTAAACTCATTTGCGAGTGGAGTGAATCAACAATTCATTGGCCTGTACGCTAAGAGAATTTCGAGTACATATTTTTTTAATGATACACATTACATAACCTAAATTGATTGCGACTACAAAAATGAATCCTCTAGTATATAACGATTGTGTTTTCCTTGATAAATAAAGTTTCTTTGTATTATATTGATCTTAAACGTTGAGCCAAAACCTACCATATGTTGCATTTGCTGTTGCTGTTGTATCTGTTGATGAGAATTTAGAGGTCGGGCATTCATGTGGGTCGTAGGCCCTATTCCCATTTGATGTGATTGAGGTCCAAGTCCCGTGGAACCTATAGATGTCATCATGCCTGGTCCTGGTGGTTGTTGTGGTGGATGCTGCATCATTGGTTGGAGCTGCTGTGCAGGTGGTACGTGAGGCTGGTGTGGCCCATGGCTCGGGTTCATAGATGTAACATGCCCAAAAACAGACTGCTGCTGCGACGGTGGGTGGGCTTCGTGAGTTGGCTGCGACCATTGGTTGATCGGGCCTACTGTTTGGGCCGGCTGACTTGGACGTGAAGCGGTGGTATTGGACGCCAGTACTTCTTCCGCCGTGCTAAACATCTCCGCCTTTAGCTTTTCAAAGTCGACGTCACTTAATAGTCCTGCTTCGTCGTGGCCTTTGCTAAGACCATCACCTGCCTCCACACCGTCACTGGCTCCTTGTTCATTTTTCGCAAGGCCTCCAAGAAGCAACCGTTGTCCATTGTTAGCATCTGTGTGGCCCAAAACGTCAACAGCATCTTTTTTATCTTCCTCTTTGATTTGTAGACCGTCACTGGTTTTATTGCAGCCATCGCCAGTGTTAGAATTGCTGGAGGTGACCGTATCGTTCTCCGGGTCGGCGTACTCCAAGATGTTGAAGTCGGCGCCTAATTCAAGCAGGTCATCGTCATCTAAACCTTCATCGGCTGGTGTCACGGAAGGCGGACCCTGTGCTTCCTGTTTAGGTATCACCCCTCCAGCGCCTACGACTCCGGCGCTGGACCAAGCCTGTGAAGAGGGTCCGAGCGAGGAAATGCCACTGCCCGAGGCTGGCCCACTACCAGAGGGACCCCCGGCAGACCAGGTAGCACTTGCCTTGCGCTGGAAGTCGTATAAAAGGAAACATAGACGATTAAAGGCTTATAATTATAGCATACTCAAAGACCCTTTTAAATCAGCTAATAACAGAAAAGGCGGATAAATAGAAATTTTATTTACTAAAATATATCTACTAGTTTAGAAATCATAAGTACGTAGGCTTTAGGCATACCTCAGAAGACTGTTTCCAAGATGAGGAAGCTTGCGTTTGACCTACTGGCCCGCCGCCAGGTGTGGTTTTCTCAAGAACTGCTCTGGCCTTCCGATTCTCGCGTGCTTTCTGTAGATATGGTGCACGCTTGTCAGTAGGCAGGTTGCGCCAGATCTTAGCAATCTGTTTCGCGCGATCAGACCATTGTGGATACTCCTGCTTGAGTGTTGGATGATTGAGGTTGGCATATAGCACCATTGATATTGTGGCCTTTTCAGCCAGCGCCTCGTCTGGCTCCCACTTCAGCATGTTGTTCTTGTTGTTCGAGCCACCGGAGTGATTTGAGGCCACCTGCAGTAATTAAGCATGGGTCGAATATAAAGTAAGCGTTGATTAATCCAAATCCATCTCTTTCCTAAACTATGTTCCCACTTGTCAGGGAAAAAAGATAATCTTTAAGAAACGTACTTGAAATTGCATATCATTTAAAACAGATTTTTGGATCATATATATGAATTGCTAGCGCTAGAAAGAAATTATATAGTGTAGAGCCCTTTTACATGGAACTTTTCTAATTTTATGTTATAAATAGGTCTATAGTTTCTAAAATCGCTTGGAAGCGAGACAGCTCTTACTTTAGAAAACAATGCCGTTACAGTCTGACTGTATAATCAGGACAGAATAAGCAAGTAAGTGTAATTTTCAAAGAACAAATATGCTTACCTCGTCAAGATCTTGCGATGACCAAGAGGGGGCTGGCGAAGGCGCCGAGATGCCCTGACGGTCTTGAAGAGCTGTTGGACCGCCTGTCCCGGTAACCGTTGTTGGACCCTGACATCCCCCTTGCGCACCTTGAGATGTTTGACTGCCAGGAGGTAATCGACCTTCTACTGATGGACTAAGTACACCTTTAAATACATTCTCCACATCTTGGCCATCCATATGGGGCAAAGGCGACGCTAAAAGTACATCAGCTTCTACGCTAGGCCCCCCACTTCCATCTGCTTCCTGCAGGAAGTAATAGCAACAGTATAAAAGCCTCATGTTAGTCTTCCATGACTTAGTACGCTGTGTGACACTTAGTTTAGCTTATTAACCATATATTGTTGTTTGATCCATATGTGGATAGGTAAACTATTACATACATTTCATTTTCAATTTATGTAGTAATCAATCGTCATTTCTAGCAGTAATAATAATCATCATTATCGTCGCTGCAATTATGTTTACTAACCTGCATAATCATATCCATTAGTTCGTCGTCCCTTAGTTCCTGTGGAAGGTCAGATGGTAATAGGTCGCCAAGTTCATCATACTCGATCGGGTCGACGAGGTTGTGATCAATGCTGAGATCTGCGGCCATGCCTGCACCCGCTCCCTGAAGTCCCGTGCTTGGGGCAGGCACGTCCGGCGGGCCAACGCGTGACTCTGCCAGCGGTACCACAGGCTCTTTTCGTCTATGGGACTGAACTGGTACCGTTTGTTTACGGTCATCTTCTGCGGCTGGAGCATCTGTTGCACAGTTGTCCAAGTCCTCGAAGGTGTCTGTGGTTGCGTTTGATGTCGCACTAAGCAGAGTCATGCCAAAGAATGCCTCCTGAATGTGAGAAGGCATACTCTCTTCGATGGTCCGTTTCTTTTTGGGCCGGCGTCTCCGCTGTTGCCTTTGGGCCTTCTCTGAATCGGGACCATCCTTTGACGTTGTTTCCTTATCATCATCAAATGGCTGCATTGCAGCTGACGCTTCAACGGCAAATGTTGCGTCGTCTTTGCTTGACATGGCTCGCGATCGTGCATTGGCTACAAAACCGCCGATCCCTAACTTTTGGATTTTTTTCTTTCGCTTGATTTCTTCGTCGCCCTCGAGGCCCTCGAGGATTCCGTCAGCCTCGAACTCGAAGGGATCACCACCGTCCGCCAGATCATCTAACGTGGCGCGCCTCTGACCCAAGCCCGGCAGGCCCGAGAGACTAGACAATCCCGATAAGCTTGGAAGCGAGGGAAGTCGATTGCCTAGTGCGTCCTTGGGCTTGACGGTGCGCGTCCTCTTCGGGGGCTCGAGGGTAAGCGTCTTGATAGTGTTCAAACCCAGGTCGGTCAAATAAACTCCGTCGATGAGGTGATGCGCTTTTTGTTTATGTGTCGGTGTGTCCTGTGGTACGGGTGATGGACAGGGCGAGTCCATCAGAAGGTCATGGACCAGATGTGCTGGTAATGTATCTTTGCCTCGGCACAGCGGACAACTATAGCCTAAGTCGCAGCAGCGTTCAGCATCCTCTTCGCAGGTGATTTCATCACACCGGCCATGCAGCCATCGCATACACTTTTCGCACTCGATTATAATGTCGCCCTCCTGGTAGTCTTGGGAGCATTGTATGCATCGGAACTTTGACGCACAGGGGGCGCATTCCGTGTAATTAGCCTGCCATTCGGAACCCTCTGGCCCGGGGCTGCGCGATCCACAAAGGACGCACACAACGCAGTGTTGGCATTTCCATGTGCCCTGTGGTACGTTCTCGAGAGGCGGTTTCAGGCAGTACGTATGATAAGACGTGTCACAGTCGTCGCACAGAAGCAGGCGGCTCTCGTCGTGTGGCTGGCCGCAGCCTTCGCACACAGTACAGTCGAGGCAGCGCCAACCTTTGGTCAGCGTCGTTTGCGTCACCTTCGCGCCGCAGCAGTACGGATGATAGCACTGGCCGCATTGCGCGCACGAAATCAATCGTCCCTCTTCTCCAATTCCGAAACTACCACATAATACGCACATATCTTGTAGAAGGACAAACTTATCGTTAGCTGAGAATAGAACGACCTTCGAGTCCTGTGTTGCCTCTTCGTCAGTGAGTTTGCCAGCGGCATTACCTCCACAGCCGCCGACATTTAGTAGAGCATCGCGCTCGAATTCGAAGTCCTTCTTGACTTGTTTGGCCTGAGCCGCAGAAGTGGCATCCCACCGGCCGAGACCGCGCATCTTCAACGCGGGATTCGTGGGCGGTCGACCTACCTGTCCACGGCCCGCTCCCCTCGGTCTCCGCATGCCTCGAAGGCCCTTGCCGCGCGACGCTAGTGCCCCCATGGGGCCCATCGCGCCCATGGCGCCCATGGGTTTACCCGCACCATAATTTCCAACGCCAATAGCAGATGTCGCCTCCTCGATGGTCACTGGCGAAAGACAGGGCGCGTCAGCTCCACTGCTACCATCGGTCGCCAGTGACGGCGTCGAGGAGGACAATACCTCATCGGCGTCTGTAGTATTGGCTCGCGGTTGAAGACACGGGGGACATGTATAGTCTCGGTAGTCGCGAGTATCTCCATTTGTTATTGCGGGATCGCAGTCATTATGGATGTACCTGCTCAAATTAACATACGCCCCGCCGAATTGCCATACACAATAAATCAAATGAAGATTACACTGAGAGAACATCTGCTGCTGAACTAAGTAGGTCATCATAATAACAATAACAGAAATAATACTGATAAAATTAAATGTAGTGAAATAGGTTAAGGCTATCAATACTGATTTTGCTCACTGCGCTTAAACAGAATTTTGAAAATTCTGTTTAAGCGCAGTGAGAACAGTGTAACAGTTGCTTAAAGAAATTAGCATATATCATCGACATAAAAAGAATGTTTTTTAGGAAATGACATTTGGTACCTTTTACAGTTTGAGCACTGCGTAAAGTCAACCATCTTTGATGATGATGATGCTCGATATGCTTTTCCGCATAATGGGCAGCTCATCCCCTTATTTCGTTGTTGATAACACGAATCGCACACGGTGTAGTTCATGTGCCACCGTGACGACGGTCCGGAGCCTGGCGTTCTTGAGCCACAGTCCCCACAGAATCGACACAGCACGCATTTATAGCCGTGCTTCGGAAGGTGGTTGAGCGCGGGCCGCACACATTGCATATGATAGCACTTTCGACAGGAGTCGCACGTTACGGCACGATCGAGGCTCCCGCCGTGGCAGATCGGACATACACGGCATCCCACACACAGCCACCCCATTCGAAGATTAGACACAATCGAAGTACCTGCACAATAAAACGAATGTCTTTGGTAAACATTTTTTTACAATTTACTTGGCTACTGTGTATTTTGACTTAACGTTTACTTATCCTGCAGAATAATAATAACAGACATATATGTAATATGATTACGTATCATTGGTGCGCTTGACAAGCTGTCATTTATAGTGGTTCATACCTGACGGTGTGTCGGTACAGCTAACATGGTAATATTTTGCGCACTGTGTGCACCAAAGGCTCTCGCGGGTCTCGGTTGGCCTGGTGCACGTCTCGCAGGTTAATTTCAGCTGTGTCGAATGTTCGCCTTGACAATATATACGTTCACGGTCACCATCGATAGCGCAGGCTGCGCCTACTGCGCAGAGCAAATGGTATGTCCTACCGCAATTTTCGTGCGCGCATCGGACTGAAGCTCCGAGCCGGCGGCAGTGACTGCACGCCCGTCGCAGACTCTCGTCGAGCAGCATCTCTAGCGTGCCGGACTTTGTGCCATCGTAACCGGCTGACCATCGCGCGCAAACGGTATGTACACGCACCGTACCCTGGGCGTCGGCTACTGCAGCCACATCAAGCGGCTCCTCGCCTGGCGGAATCACACCTACATTGCAGATATCTTCAAGGCACGTAGCGCTGCCTTCGGCGCTCATCTTCGATGCCCGGATACGCCGCCGCTTCTGCGGCTTCTCGGGATCGCTGCTCAGGCCGAGCTTGGCGGGGCCGACACGGGCTGATAGAAACGGCGATGACAAATAGGGATTGCGTTCGGCCAGATTACATAGGCCGCATAAAGGCTCTTCAACTCTAAAAGAGCAAAGGATGCAAAAAGGACGATGAGAAAAAGCAATGCAATCAATGCTACACGGCGCGTTCTTGTTAGGTACCCTATTAATGCCTCAGATGATTAGCCAACTTACATTTACTCAAATTTCATAAGGTACGATTTTATGTTTGACGCTGACTTTAAATAATAAAGAATAGGTGGAAATAGGTTTGTCTACGGTGTAATGCACTTACGGTTCCGGGGGTCCAGCCATGATGGCAGCCGTCGTCGTTGTTGTTAGAGCGCCTTGAACAAGACCCTCAGCTAGCTCGGGTTCTTCGTTACATGAACCGGCTGATTGGGCTGTATGATTATTGGTAGGTGGTGGCGCTGGGAGACCGACACCTCCTGGAGAGGGCGGTGGAATAGACCCGGAGGAGCTTCCCAATGTACTCCCCGGGCCAGCTACGCCCTCCTCGAGAGACGCCGGTTTCCGGCGAACACGAACTGAACCTCGAGGTCGACCAGGAAAGTACCCAATCTTCTTACGTCCGAGGATTATTTCCGAGGCTCCCTGCTACAAAATAGAAGAAAGCAAAGAAATGGTGATATTGTCCATACGTTTGAAATAACAGTTGTCTTTCGGATTAGCAAATACGATGACCACTTATTATTGTTACCTCTTAATTGATTAATATAGCCGTATTTATGCGAATAGTTACTAAGTGCATACGCAGAAAATTAACTCATTTTTGTAATACACTTATCTATAGAAAGACTAAAACTAAAACTAAGGTGCTTAGAAGATTTCTTCAAGCTCCATAAGCGAATTCTAAAGTGTTATATAGCAATACTTCAAATTAATTTTTGTATAGATCTTTATGTTTGCACGATTTTCAAATGTATTATAAATTCAACGTTATTATCGATTAGAATAAACACACAACTATTTTATAAGATTCAAGAAATTACAAACGTTCATGCCAATGATTTCACCACGAAAGAGACCGCATTTATTTGATTCGAAGTACTAAACCTTTCCTAACCAAGCTTCACACTGTGGTGCAATAAATTTGCTCAAAGGCAGAGCATCATAAAAACAACTTTCTAGTTCGAGTCAACATTCATCAACATTGTCAAATTATAATCGCGCTGTATGAACGGAGAAATCACAAAACTATCCCATAAAAAATTCGCCAGGCGAATATTTTCAAAGATTTTTTGGTGAAGTAATCATATTCCTGTTTTTATGTAAATATGTTTGTCCAAAATATCATATTTACGACGCTTTAAAAACATAAATTACAAAATTAAGCGCCCTTTTTCAAAGAGATATTTGAGAGAGACACAATGTGAATTTAACAACTGCTAAATTCTACCGAAAGTACAAATTGAGTATAGTTACCGAAAAACGTATATATATATATATATATATATATATATGGACAACGTAAAAATGAATCTGAACTAATACGCTAACTAGTGTCAAATGTTGAATTACTTGAGTTCTTTTTGATCAGCATATAAATTGGACGGAATTACATTCGACGAAAAGAATAGCGCACCTACTACAACTGGCGATGGTCAAGATAATGAATTAAATCTGAATAAAGTAATAATGAATACAATTGAAAGATGCAAGTATTGAAATATAACTAACGACTAAATAGTGAATTGAATAACTTCTGATCATTTAATATCTATCTTACATAACGCGTAATGCATATTTGATTTAAATCAAACGTTCCATTGATAACATGAATCATGGTATTCCCGCACCAATCCCAATTCACCTGCTGTTCGTGAAAAGCCAGAGTGAGCTGAGTCTAGCACAAGCGCTGCCAATATAATGAATGTTCAAAAAAGACAAATTTCTCTGCTTCACTTGAAGTAGAGAGCGGTACTATCCTTCTTCTATAATATACACGGTTACATTTAAGCTAGAAAGGCGCTACAGATCGCGTTGGGATAAAAAAAATCTTCATAAATGAATTCACAGTGACATAAATGAAATGACAGTGAGCTTTGACGTTCATTGCGAAAATGCCCGAAACAGCATTCGCAAGACAGAAAACAATTTCGAAACTTTTTCGGCGCAGACATTTGTTTTGAATCGAATGTTTGCTCTTAAATCGAACTCAGCCGCCATCTGCCTGACATTTCCCTGGTTGATCAAAAAGCCTAGAGAAATTGGAGCAAGTCAGAACTTCACAACCAGAATTAACCGAGAGCGAGTGGGAACCGTAAAATCGAACTAAACATCAAATAAAATAATTGACACAAAAATAGACATGCAGCTGTGGAGATGGAGAATTATAAAGTCAGTGTGTACGGTTCTCCCACCGACTGCGAAAATCAATGGCACGTTTCACGGATGGACGCACCATTCTATATGGCAGTAATGCTTTATAAAGGATCTGCATTGCTTTACTCCGGCAGTATTTACTGGTTGTGTGTGAACGGGTGGAAGTTAAGATCTTCATCAGCATAGAGATAAGCACTTGAAGCAATATAAATAATAAGATGATAGAGATGACAAACCTGCTTTCGAGGTCTCCCGGGGGGCCGTTTTGACTGGAATACGGGGGCGGCGTCAACATTGGTGCTGGTATTGTTGTTGTTGTTGTTCGTGGGGGGATTGGCGGCACCGGCGACGGCAGTTAAGCTCGTCGATTTGGCTTGGGGTGGCCCGGTCCCCGAACCCGGGCCGCCGTCAGATTGCCGGCTCATGACCCGCCTCCCGCCGGCATCACGGCCTCTTCCAAGGCTGCACGGCTGCACGGGCTGCTCCTACAACCCCCCAAACGTCGACGACAAGCGGAGTCTTCGGCCGTCGTTCTATTTTGCCTGCGTTGAGGATACCTTAGAGGACGATTAGACGAAGCTAAACGGAACCGATACGATCTGGCTAAGTAATAAACAGGCTAGTACAAGAACAACAACAATAACAACACTAACAACAATGTTGTGTAAAGTGTATTCGGAGGCCTTTTTTCGTGAATCCTTGCCGCGACGTTGGTAGCTTGATACGCAATATGAGTGGAGACTGATTCCTATTAAGGCACGCTACCACGGCACACACACTATAACACGCAGATCTCACACTCAATCAACTTGCTACGTCCTGACGTTCCTGCAGCTGAGGGCTGCTCCTGCCGTTGTTTCCGCTAGTAAGGCTGAGGCGGGATTCTCGCCTCAACCAATCTACCTAGTCAACAGCGAGGATTGTATGGTGCGCCCCCGTCTCGCACTCTTGGGGTAGCGAGCCAGTGCATTATTATAATGTCGCATTGGTCGTCGAGCGGATGCTACCCAGGATAGCTGTGTTTGTACGAACAGAATCAATAGGAAACGTTTACCGCGTACGATAGACTGGCGCGCGGGACTCGAGGGCTACAGGAGTTCCGACGACAGGGTCGTCACCCATCAAAGAGCGCCACGACACCGGGTTGCTACCTAGTAGCTATTACGAACACACACATAAACAATCATTTCTATTCATATCGTAGGCAACGTAACCGTATGGCGTAGGACACAAACAACACAACGTACGACCGTATAGGCATCCACAGCACCACGCACTTTTCAAGCTCGGCTCAGCTTGCCTCGGACAGCTCACTACTATTACTCAAATTCTTCGCGAGCATCATCAACTACTCAGTGGTGGTAAACAACACGTAACGGCAGATCGCGGCTCCGGAGCGCCTGCGCGCCAAATTTAAGCTGCTACAACCGATAGCCATAGACGACAAACGGGAGACTCAGCAGAGCTCAAAGAAGACAGTGAGAGAGTGAACGAGAGCGCAACACGGGAGTAGAGCGGACGGATGTATACATTGCCGCCATCGCCGGAGAAGGTAGATTAGAAGAAGAAAAAGAAGAAAATACAAGAAAGGAAAAAGGCGGCAAAAAATAAAAACTAGAAAAAAATTATGATTCAACAATAGTTAGTATAAAGAGGACTTTGTTAACGAAAATTGAAAATCGTATTAGAGAGAAACGACGCATATAATATGCGCCTAACAACTACCCAAAAGGATGAGATGAACACAGAACCATCGGGGCTCGTAGTGCTCGCTTGAATTTAGAATCGAAATATCTTTATAATTTTCATTAAACAATGTAAAGTAAGATACGTGATTTCGTAGGGGAATACGAAAAATCTTCGACTCGCGTTTCTATTGCAGTTGATCTTGACTACATTAGCTAAGGCGACAGAACTATTTGAAAAGGACAGTCTGCTTAATGATATTTCATAATACGTAGAAGGAGAATGCAGGTGATCATGTTATTAGTTTAGAAATTGAATTGGAGATCCTCTAAAAGAACCAGTTTCTAGTATTTAGCTGGCTTTTTGCAACTCAATCAGTTTATAGCTGTCGTATAAAAATATAAGATACTCTCAAGGGATAACTGTCTGGAGAATCGCAAAGCTAAATTCACAAGTATAATTGGCAATTCATGCTACCATTAGTCAAGTAAACATGAAGTCAAGTTCCGTTGATTTTCATACTTTTAGGCTACACACAATGTCGCTTTATGCTTGAACTTACAACCATGGTTATTTCATTTTAAATTTCGCACCAGCAGACTGATATATAAAAAAAAGTAGCAGCCAAATTAATCCAAAAGAATTTCTTGCAGTTGGCTTGCACGCGAACAACGTGAGGTTATCGGTACGTGAAGTAGTGCTCTAGATACGTACAGGAAGAAATATGTGCTTAGTCGTGGCATATATAAATACGCAAACAAAGAACATTATTGTTGGACGTATAATTTAGATAAGTCAATGATATGTTTAAGATAGAGAAGAAGGTAAATTGTTGTATGAGATAAGTATATACCACGCGTCGAGTAAAGTAATAGGTTAACATGAGCTAATATATGAGATAAAGAAAGATGTATATAATCGTTCTTGGAAGCATGAATCTCTGAAGCTCCTTAGGAAATCTGTAGGCACAAATTATTTACATGTAAGCACTGTTAACAGTATATTTTTATTTGCCATTTCAAAAAAAAGGAACTAAGCTAAAAAGCATCGAAACAATGAGAATTAAAAGGAAGGTTTAATCTAGGAATCAAATGGACAGCGAGAGGAGGAGGAAAATGGGAAAACAGTAATATTATGGTATAATCCTTTATTGCTAATATTAGTATAAAATAGTGGGTTTCAATCCAATATAGATATACCTGCATTAAACCGAGAAATGCAAATAGAGCTGTAAGGAAACATTTGCTATAAGGTAAATCTTCATGTCGCTTGTATAACTATTATATTCACAAATTAGTATTGAAATACAGGTCCCAGAGTAAAGCCTAATTTTTACAGACCGTTGCATTCATGCACTATTTCTTACTCAGTATTCTAACGAGAACGAAAGAAAAAAATATTTCAGGGACTATTATGTCTTACTTACTTAGTGAAATACTTTGGGTATCTATTCGGTTTAGTGATTTCTTTCGTAGCGTCTCATTGTAATGATGGAATACAAACTGAAAGGTTTATTCCGTACATGATTACCACCTTTACATTACACTACTACACACCATCCGCTGAGAAGCGTTTAATTTATTTATAAAAGCATTTGATGATTTAATCTATGAATAGCTATAAAAAATAACATAAGTTAAAAGACTTTTTGTTGGTCTTTATGTATAGCTGAATTTTAAAGAATATTAACTGACTATAACGTTGTTAATTTCTAAAAAAAATTATGAGACGACTGATTCGTGCACATTTCTTGTCCATTCGACTATTATAACATCTCTATAAAATTCAAAGGTAAAATTGTTTAGTTAGATAAAGGAGGTGACGAAATTTCTTTTGGGGTGTTTCATGAAAAGCTAGGACTGATTCTTAACGGGTGATAGAAACGCTTTTGCTGAAAGCGATTATAAATCAAACGTGACTTTTTTTCATATTGAACGAAAACAGTCAAGCAATAATCAAGTTTCGACACATCCGTTACTCTTTAGGGTATGGTTTTCTTTTCATTTATACAAACAGCACTGGCCATTTGAGTTTGAAGAAAAATGCTATAAAAGGCACCGATTCAAGACAAAAGATGTGTCAGGTGGTTGTCCTCCGGCCAATCTATGGGAATCGTGAGCGAAATCTACGCGGCAAAATTGGACCGACATCGAATTGTATGCATCAAATTCACGAATATGTTTTTCTTTTTCCTTTGTTCTTTCCTCCACAACTCACAGCATTGCGGACTAGACAAGGAAATGTGTATGCGTTCAATATGTTGATATCAAAGTCGCTCGTTAGCTGTACTGGGATATGTGAAGATACGTTTTTACTAAGAAGAACTGTATTGGGTGCGTAAGTTAGCGGAAACCCTAATCCTAAAAAAGAAAGCAACGCTGCTTTGCGGTAGTCCACCCGTGCGACACACACCCGTGTAAATAAGAGAGGTCAAGAAGTGTTGTTACGAGCAGTAAGAAAGAAACTGCATGGCCAAGTCTCGTTCTTAGAGTATCTCACATAGTAATTTACATGTGGGTATTTTATCTATAAAATTAAAAAAATGCTAGCAAATCATAGGCATGAAGTATTGCTGTTGTGTATTATAAAGAGGTGCCTGCACGAACTCGCTACCCATGGAAATAATCTGTGAACAAAACTGCACGTGTGAATGATGTGCGTGCAGTAGAGAATCGTGAACGGTTAGCATACGTATTGCATAGACTAAGAAGCCTATATCAAGGTATGAAGCAAATATGATGTTTTTCTAGAATAATTTCATCATTAAATTCTACCCTGCATAATGTTACATACTGCTAAAACTTAATTCGTGTTAATAGTACCACATTGATGGATAGCGCCGAACATTCCGCTAGTAAAGTACGGTCAATTGGTGTTGATGCCTAAAGGCGGTAGATATCCTAACTGAGCGAACGACTTTTCAAAGTTTTAATTTGATTACTAGCAAAGGCAGATAGTTTGCTGTTCCGTGGCTATTATGGGTTTCTCGTCGTTCAGTTTATAAGGAGCAGAACGGCAACACGTTTTGTCATTAAAAATGCCTGACAAAAAGATAGAGTGCATAACATGAATCTCATAAATTGTGTCTAGCAAGCGTTTAAATGTTGCAGAAATAAGTACTCAAGAAATTCGCTGAAAACTTTAACGATAACGGAGCAGCCACGAGGGCGGAACAAGTCAGTACCGAAACAAAAGGATAATTGTAACGCATCCTACGACATTATCAATAGTCCACCAATGTCCTGAGTAGACTAGGGAATGATATGACCGTTTGCATATCTGAACCAAAACGGGGAATGTGGGTCTGAATCGGAATCAATATACAGTACACAAAAGCCTACAGAGAAGAACAGTGACTTGGTAGATTGCTACCGTTTGCGGGTTTGTCCACAATGAAGCCTGACCGACCGGCAGGATCACTATACGCGGAAGAGTCATATTCCTATACAGTAAGTCAAGATTGAATCGAGTGATAGTAGGCAGACACAAGGATATCATAAGGCGGCCTAATGAAATAAGAGGGGCGACTAAAAGCACTGAACTGCTGGGTGACTTTGTTTCGACAAAAGGGTTCGCTGCTCATCGAGTGCATCATATAGGGAATCTTTCGTACGTTTCAAAGCGTTCGAAAATATCTACCATAATCTTTTTTCTATATAGTTCGCTCCACATGTGTGTTTCTTTCGCTTGTCTAAGACGAGCGCGATTCGGTAACCATTCGACGCACTCCTATTTTTTACTTCGCCAAAATATATAGTGGAAATATATGCACCTTCATTTGCTCTAAGAGATTGTTGACTCTTTATAAAGATCCTATTAGTTACTTTTAGATTTGACTGAAATTCTTAATAACATCTATGCCTTTCAATTTAACTTAGCGTTCTTTTACACCTGCAGAATTATTAAAACTTGATCATCACTATTTTTAGATAGTCATTATGTCTGGAGGAGAGTTTTGGGCTGCTCAATTCCCAAGTGAAGTTCGCTGCTCAGGACACAATGAGTGGAGACGAAATTAAATTAATATTATAATTTGTTTTCCAATCGTTTTAAAGATGCGGTTAGATTCTGCAATTTAAACGTTAAATGAAGAAAAGTTACTTTGTATTATTGTTTCCTATATACTCGCGATTTTATCGCAATACGATTATTGTTATGACTACTGCCATTGCAATAATTCTAATAAAGTATTCTAATAAAGTATTTGTTGTACCAATCAATACCTTAGATATCATAAATTCTTACTTGTTTATCGCCAATATTGCTAATCTAAGCTTTATCTCATAAACTTTTCGTATTCCCGACCTACACAGCATGATATGATTCGTATAATAACTTGCTAAAATGTTATAATGGTTTGATCTTGCATGCAATACATGCAACATATGTAGAACATGTCTTCTTCATATAGGGCACATTTTTCTCATTGCACTTAGGCGTCGACGTTTTCGATTCTAGCTTATTACTCCTGTTATCTACCTTGAGAAACGTGGAAGACTTCTCTTCCTTTTTTTAGGGTTACTTTTGTTAGGTCTTCGTTCCCCATTGCAAACTGGCCGATCTCTTAGCACTTTTTAAATCGAAAACATTTTAACATGATTGTTA